CTGGCTTCAGCGGACCAGATGCCGCGATTGTAGGCAACCGAGATAGCGTCCTCCTTCGAAAGGGCACCCGCAGCATAAGCGGCGGCGATCTCCCCAGAGCTGTGACCACAGACGGCCTGGGGATGAATGCCGAAACTACCGAGTAGATCGACAAGTGCAATCTGGATCGCCGTTGTAGATGGCTGCGAAAATCTGCTATCACCGAGGCGTGTTGTCTTCATGTCGCGCGACAGCTCGTTGAAAAGGCTCCAATCGCAACCAAGATCATTCAAGATTCGGTCGCAGGCGGCCAGCGAGTCTTGGAACACCTTTGACCCCGACAAAAGCTCACGGCCCATGGCGAACCACTGGGCTCCTTGACCGGTGAAAACAAAGGCGACCCCGACATCTTGTGCAGACTTGACCAGGGGTACTCTCGGATCTCCCATGGCCATTTCAAGCTCTTCGGAGTTGGACACGATGGCACTGCAGCGCCAGGGAAGCTTTGAACGGCGGACGTTCAAGGTGTAAACCAGGTCGTCAAAGGATGTCGAACGTCCCAGGTCTGATCCCAGCCATCGCCGCAAGTTGACGATTACACCCTTGAGTGACGACTCTGAGTTTGCGGAAAGAACAACAAGTCTCTGGGGTGTTTTGTGCGGTTTTTCCACTCCGTTGACGCCGTTGGAGAATCCATTGGATATAGGGGTAGGGTCATAGGCCTGAATAATTACGTGGGCATTGCTCCCGCCGTACCCAAAACTATTGAGAGAGGCGCGCCTGGGTCCAGTGTGATCTTTGGGTGCAAGAGGTTCGAGCTTCAGCGGTATCTGACGACAATTGTTAGCAAAGTCCAAATTCAACATCAGAAACTTGTTTGCCAATCGTTCCATGCCTACGCGTCTGACTTTGGCCGGAACTTCGAGGCTTGACAATTCTTTACTTACTCTGATGCCCCTTTCCGCGAGATGAAGCGAAGGCTTTGGGTTGATTAAGTTCAGCTGCGGAGGAATCTGGTTCTTTTTCAACACCATTATAGCCTTCAGCATGCCGGCTATGCCGCTGGACGACTCCAGGTGGCCTATGTTTGCTTTGATACTGCCCTAATAATGATAATTAGCAAAGGTTGACAGAAAACGAGCCTGCGACAGCGGAAGTGGAGGGTTTCACGAGACTTACAATGGGCAAGTCAGACTTGCGGCCTGCCTCACGACCAAAGACCTTGGATATGGACGAGACTTCGGCATTGTCACCTGTATAAGTTGTCAGTCAGTAATACTCCTCATGTTGAGAGATAACTGCAACTTACCAGCCGCAGTCCCGGTTCCGTGGGCCTCCACATACAGAGTCTCTCGAGGATCCAGACCAGCATTCGCGTAGACCCTGCGGGCTAGAGACTCTTGTGCGTCCGAGTTAGGCAAGAAGATTCCACCTGTCTTGCCATCATGATTAGAGCCTGATTCCATGACAATCGCATGAATGGCGTCTCCGTCGGCGATAGCCTGCTCAAGCCGCTTCAAGACGAGAACGCCAAGTCCCTCGCCTCGCGCATAGCCGGCGCCACGATCGTCAAACGTGTAGCATCTCCCATCTTTATTGGTGAGGTTACTTAACGAGCCAGTCAGTGAAAAGTAATGGAAGCGTTTGGGACTTGAAACACCTACAACATGGTCATGGACTGGTCGGGGGTCAAAAGCAGTTGGCTGGCCCCTGCAAGGGCGATCGAAGCTTCGTTTGCCTTCAAAGTACGACACGCTTGGTGCACTGCCACAAGGCCGCCGGACTGGAAACGTTAACACGTATGATCCTAAAAACTACAGCGCCGCATTACTTACACATCCTGTATCTAAGGTGTTGGAGGTGCCTTTGAGATCCAACAAGTACGAGATCCTGTTGGCTAGAATGGCGTCACCTGACCCTGTGCTATGTTGTTTGTGCATTTGAGACGCGTCTCGATATCCCATTCTGTCATAGTCTCGAGCAAACATGGCCATGTGAACCGAAGTGTCTGAACCACGAAGGTCTTCGATCGGGATGCCGGCATTCTCGATTGCCTCGTACGTGACCTCCAGCAGAAGCCTTTGCTGAGGATCAATTCCCGGAGCCTCTGCCCCAGGAACACCGAAAAATCGGGCGTCAAAAGCCGAGATGTCCTGATCCAGGAAATATCCATGGCTGAAGTTGATGGCCTCCTTGGCGTTTGTGTCCTTGTGGTAGAAAGACTTCCAGTCCCACCGATCCTTTGGAATTTCTTTTCGTCCATCTCTGCCTTCGGCTAGCATAGACCATAGGCTTTCTGGATTGTCAGCCCCTCCAGGGAGACGGCAGGCCATTCCAATGATGGCGATTTGGCTATTGGCACCCATTTTCACTTGCTGAACGGCGAAATCTGATGTGACGGGACGTGTAAGAGGTGAATGACAGAGAAAAGCTTGTATCAGAGTTTGGTTTCGCTAATAAGATGTAAAAGTCCCCAAGTCAATGGCGAAAGGTGATGCAAGCCGGCATCACTGACTGCTTTGAAACAGGTAGTCTCGTATGTGACGACCGACGCCTTTGATAGGTGGGCTGCTGTAGGACCAGTTCACCACTCAGGATTCACGATAGCTGCGAAGCAGTCCAGAATAGACCCCCGGCTAAGTCATGCATTAGGAGCGGGCCGTTGCCGACTCCATTGCAGGGCTGAGTCCGCAAGCTCATTAGTGGAGCAAAAAGTACGACGCTGACAGGTTACTTCGGTTTCTGCAGCTTAGCTCGTTTTTTATCTTGCTATCCAGACACCTCCTCCCTCTGGATCGGATATAGAGCCGTCCGATGACATCCGCAGCGCCACGATGGAAGACAAGGATGTTCGGGACGGGGAAGACAGCGTTGCAGGGCTGGACAGCTCGCCATTGCAGCTTACTGGTAGCATTACGGATAGAGGTGGCGGATATCCGACCTTATCCACGGTGGGGCCTCTCCAACCTGGTTACTGTTGTCAGTTCGTCTAGGCTCCAGCCTTCCATCGAAGAAACATCTTGGCGAACTGCGCGATGTTATGTGGGGTTTCCAAGTCAGTCAGTCCGAGTGGACGAACACAATCGACGAGTTGCTGGCTCTTTTGTGGGTCATTTCACTGCTTAGTCCAAAGGCATCTCGTAGATTCCGAGGAAAGTCGAACGAGACACGCATACGAATACAAAAAAGGGGAAGAACCCGATGAAAGGTACTCCAGTTTGAAGATTCCTCATGCTCACATCGGATTGGGATCTCATCCAGACGGAGAAGGCCAAGACTATTCCCCACTACGAAATATTGCCTCCGCTAAGCTCACTCCCATTTCTTTCTGAAGAATTGATTGATACTCGCTTGTATCGGCGACAACCCGTCGGGAAAGCAGCTGGTTGATTACGTTGACATCCTCCGAAACACCCACCCTCCAAATTCTTCTACAATGGAACGAGTTGACATTCATTGCCATGCCGTACCTGCGGGGTATCGTCAATATGCGCTCGATAACGGTCATGAGAAGCCCGACGGGATGCCAGCCCTCCCTGTAAGTGTATCCCGTCTTACCTGCTGCTTGACTTCCTAATCGTCTCAGGACTGGACTCCGGAGGAGCACATTGCGTTGATGAAAAGTTTGAACATCAGCAAGTCGATCCTCAGTATAACGTCTCCGGGGACACACCTTACTCCGAACCAGGACCGACATGCTGCAGGGATGACTCGTCAGACCAATGAGGAGCTTGCTGCCATTTGCAAACAGCATCCCTCCCACTTTGGGTTCTTCGCGTCTTTGCCACTGCCTTCCGTCCAGGAGTCCGTTGCAGAGATCGACTACGCGCTAGATGTCCTAGGTGCAGTAGGATTCGCGGTCATGTCTAACGCAAGTGGGGTTTATCTCGGAGACAGGGCCCTTGATCCCATTTTTGAGCGGCTCCATCAGCGGAAAGCCATCCTCTTCATCCATCCGACTACATGCAACTTGCTAAGCGCCGGTGGCCAGGTGCAGCCGATGAAGCCGCTCGAAGAATACCCTCGCCCAATGATGGAATTCATGTTTGATGAGACGCGCGCCATAGCCAACTTGCTCCTCTCAAGCACGGTATCCAAGTACCCCGGCATCACCTTCATCATGTCTCATGGGGGCTGCGTGCTGCCCTCCATTGTGGATCGCATCGGCGCCTTCGCAACTTTCAACGGAGGCGAAAACAGAAGTGAGGAATTCAGGGGCCTACTTCGAGAAAGGTTCTTCTTCGACATGGCCGGCTTCCCCTTCCCGGACCAAGTCCATGGGCTGCTCCGGACTCTGGGGCAAGGTGGAGAACGGAGACTTGTCTACGGAAGTGACTATCCATTTACCCCTGGAAAAGTCGTCCTAGACTTGGGCGCCAAGATGGACCAAGGATGCAAGGAGCTATTTGACGAGGACCAGAGACAGGCTGTGTATTCGGGCAATGCAGAAAGAATGCTCGGACAACTCTGATGGCGTGCTAGTTACGGCGTGTCAATAGTGTATTTCGGCGACTTCTGCACCGGAACCTCCGAGGGCCACCTTCTCCTTCAAGTTAGAAAACACGTATTGTTGATCGTTGTAACTCCGACGTGACCGTCAGCTCCGTGAAGTTGCGGTCCGCTCACTGCAGCAGACTCCGGCCCGCGTTAAAGTGTTGAGTTGCAGTGACCCCACGTCAAGCATGCAGGGTCAGGTAGGACCCATGTCTTCAGCAGTATGGCAAGAGACCACAGTAGTGCTGACCTCGGTGTGGTGGGGTTTGGCATCGTCACTCCATGAACCAATCGACCGCAATCGGTCGCGATAGCTTAAGCATGACCTCGACTTTTGGGGGACTTTGCCAACCCCAGAAAGCGAATATCCTGGAATTCATGCTTTTACGCCAATCCTCAATTTTATGGACGGACGCAATCGGCCTGATGCCACTTGAACTTGTTTAAGCTGTCTCTACTCGTTTCCGGAGCCGACATACATCATACAAGACTATTCGGAATCGAGACGTTTCTAAGCGCCAATATCAATGTCTAAGTTGAAGGAAAACTACTGGCTGATCTTCGGGGGACAGGGTTCACCGTCTATCTTTTCTCCTGGAGCGTCCGCGATCGCAGAGGAAGACGCTCAGTTGTCTCCTGCTGGCAGCATCCTCTTGTCAAAATGTCATGCAGCTTTTTTGCAAGAGGTTGAGAGTCTGGACGCCGCATCTCAGAAGGATCTTGGCATCAATTTGACGTACTTCTGCTTTCCGCAGAACTTGATCAAGCCGAATGAACGTTATCACGCACACCCAGTGCTTCAAGCAACCACAATCTACCTTTGTCAACTTCTCCACTACCTCGCCCAGTTGCAACGTTCCAATGAACCCTTCGAAGCCTCATTCGACAGAATCAGAGAGACCACGGGCTTCTCTTCGGGTTTCATCACCGCCACCGTTGTTGCCCGATCGTGCAGCCTCGACAACCTCGTAGCAAATGGTGTTGAAGGATTTCGGCTCGCATTTTGGATTGCTTGTCGCTGTCACTTTCGGAGCCTGAACGCCAATTCAAACCGCTCTCCCGATAGCAATGGGGTTAGGGGAAACTTGGATGCAACATGCTCTCTCGTTATCCGCGGTCTCTCATCGGCTCAGGTGGAAGAAAAGCTGTCGAAGCATTGCGCCACGCGGTTTTCCAGCTTGGGCTCATCGTACCAGTCGACTTCACAAAGCCTTCATGTTTCCGCCATCTTAAGTCCCAGCGTTGTGGCTGTCTCTGGTCCCAAAGAGGAACTCGCTGCGTTCGAAGCTGAAGGCGTGTCTGCCTTTGCAACAAAGTTTGCCCATGTACATGGATGGTACCATGGAGGCAATCAACTCGAGGTTGTCGTTGACGAGGTTCTTGAAGATGCTCGACGTCGAGACATTGTTTTCTCTACCTTGTTTGCGCCTATGAAGCCCCTCCGATCAACTTTTGACGGGACATTGATTGACGCATCAAACGTCGACGCGGTCGGTTTTCTGCAACTGCTGGCTCGACATTTGCTTGTTCACTGCGTGAACTGGCACGACACAGCTACTCAGATCACTGCAAGCGTTAGAGAGTTACTGAGGGAGGATTCTGCAGCATGCGTCAAGCTGCTGTCTTTCGGGCCATCGTCTAATTCCTTGTTCCCAATCTTTGACCCTCCTGATGACAGGATAAATTTCATGGAGCTTTCGTCGTTCAAAGCAACTTCGACGACTCATTCAGTTGATGACCATCCGAATAGCATTGCCATCGTTGGGATGAGCGTCAGACTCCCCAACGCTCAGGACAGAAACGAGCTTTGGCAGATGCTCTCCCAAGGAGTTAGTGCTGTACAGGAGGTTCCGGAATCTAGGTTTCAAATCTCCGATTACTACTCCGAGAAACAACCTCATCATTCAAGGACAATGCCCATCAAGCACGGCGCATTCCTCAATGACGCTTTCTCGTAAGTCTCATCGCCTCTCAGCTGCTATCAGCCTTTCTTATGTCCTGGTCTGAACACTTAAGACTTATGAGTATTTGCTCATGTGGAAATGCACCACTCATCGTCGTCTTCTCTGGCAGTCCTGTAATGGTCTCCGGCTTTCACTTTTCAACTAATCAGACCACTAACTTCCGATTTGCACTAGATTCGACAACAGTTTCTTCAACATCTCACCCCGAGAGGCGATTTCCATGGACCCTCAACAACGACTTCTACTTCACGCAGCGCAGGAGGCCCTCGAAGATGCCGGATACGTCGGAGATTCGTCACCATCCTCTCAGAAAGCGACTACCGGTTGCTTCATTGGCCTTGCCACGGGAGACTACACTGACAATCTCCGCAACGACATCGACGTTTTCTACTCTCCTGGAACCCTACGAGCCTTCCATAGCGGAAGGATTTCCTTCTTTCATGGCTTCAGCGGTCCCTCAATTGTTACTGATACGGCATGCTCCTCGTCAATGGTCTCCTTGTACCAGGCTTGTCGAGCCCTGCAGACAGGCGACTGCACCACCGCAATAGCAGGAGGCATAAACGTGATTTCTAGCCCAGATGTAAGTATTTTCACCCCAGATAAACCTAAGAAGGCCTTACTTACACATGTCAGATGTATCTTGGGCTGTCACGAGGCCACTTCCTCAGTCAAACTGGAGGCTGCAAGCCCTTTGATGCGGCTGCAGACGGCTACTGTAGAGCTGAGGGATGCGTCTTGTTTGTCCTTAAGCGGCTTTCAGATGCTGTGGCAGAAAACGACAACATCCACGGCGTTATACGGGATATTATGACGAACCAAAGCGGCAACGCGCAGTCTATCACGCATCCCCACAGCCCAACCCAAATTGACCTGTTACAACGCCTTCTTAACCAAACAAAGGTTGACCCCAGGTCCATTAGTGTCATAGAAGCGCATGGAACAGGTACTCAGGTCAGTTCGCATAGCCAATTCAAGGCAAAATGACAATCAGCTAATATGCTCTTGGACTTCAGGCCGGCGACACTCGCGAGATGGAAAGTCTTCGGCACGTTTTTGGCCCGTATCATTCGGTGACAAATCCTATCGTTGTCAGCTCCATCAAGGGTAACGTAGGCCACTGTGAGGCTGCGTCTGGGGCTGCGAGCTTGGCCAAATTGCTGCTCATGCTGCGTGAAAAGGGGATCCCACCTCAAGCCGGGTTCAACACCATCAACCCGCACTTCTCCGACCTGGAGAACTCTGGATTCGTCATACCGAGACGGATGATTCCTTGGAATCACTCTATTTCAACTCCGAGAAGAGCTATGCTGAGCAACTTCGGCGCTGCCGGATCGAACGCCTCTCTCTTGTTGGAAGAGTGGACCCAGCACTCAAACACGGAGACGCGAACTCGAGACCGGTCCAGCTATGTTTTCCGAATCTCTGCGAAGTCTCAAACTGCCCTTCAAGCGACCGTACAACAATATCTCAAATTCCTCGGAGAAAGCCCTGATCGGTCATTGCTGAAGGACGTCTGTTACACCGCAACTGCACGGCGTCAGGCCTACGATTATCGCATATCCGTTTCATGCAGTTCTGTAGAAGAGCTTCGGTCCAAACTGGAGACTTGCGAGGCTTCGAGCCCCCCTCCTGCCCTGTCTGCGTCGGCCACCGTGTTCTGCTTCTCTGGGCAAGGCGGCTTCTACCGCGGCGTGGGAGCTGAGCTCATGGAAACATTTCCATCCTTCCGGGAGTTTGTGTCGAAGTGCGATTCGATCATCAAAGGGCTGGGGAACGAAAGCATCCTTGGGATGTTCCGCAACGACGCGTCCAACGATCAGTCATTGGGGAAGTCTGAGCGCATGATTGCCGAACAATGTGCCTGTGTCGTACTGGAATTGGCGCTGGCAAGGGTGTTCATGTCATTTGGGATCACTCCAGACTATGTCGTGGGACACAGGTACGTTACTTCGTCGCTCTAACCGTGTAAACTTGCTGATCTCTAGATCTGATTAGTCTTGGAGAGTATGCCGCTTTGTGTATAGCTGGTGCACTTTCATTGGAAGACACTTTACGTGTCGTGTCATCTCGGGCGAAAATGATGGCATTGTACTGCGAGTCAAATGCTTCCGGAATGTTGGCATGCAGCATGTCGCCAGATCGCGCCGGGAATTTGATCTCGACGAACCCCGCCTTGTCGGAGTTGACTGTGGCATGCCTCAACGGCATTGACGACTGTGTGATCGGCGGGCCATTGGACCAAATCAGCGAGTTCCAGGGACACTGCAAGGCGTGGAAGATTAAGACAAAGGTTTTGGACGTTCCGTTTGCTTTCCACACCAAGGCTATGGATCCAATCTTGGACGATCTTGAGGCACTTGGGCGGTCGATCGGCTTTGCGACGCCTACAGTCCCCATCATTTCCAACGTATTCGGATGCTTTTTTCAGGCAGAGCATCTTACTGGAAACTATTTTGCGCTCCACGCAAGGGAGCCGGTGCGCTTTTCGGAAGGTCTGTTGGATTTACAATCAAGCGCCCCGCTTCACAACGCGCTATTCCTCGACATCGGCCCTCATCCCAGCACAATCCCCATGGTTCGGAGCTTGAATCAACATGGCTCCTCCACATATCTCGGAACGTTGCAAAAGAGCCGAAGAGCGTGGGAATCGATCAGTGCGACCCTAGCCAACATATCTCTGCTGAAGATACCTGTCAACTGGCGCGAGGTCTTTGCTGGGACGTCTGCGAGGATGTTGTCCGGTTTACCTGGGCATCCCCTGAAGGGCCCGAAATTCTTCGTCCCTTATCGGGAACAACTCCAGAGTGTTGAACAAGGCGAGACATCATTACCGTCTCTTCGCACAAAGACCAGATTCAACCTATTGCCATGGCTGAAGCCTCAGCCGGCTCCGAGCGATACATTCGTGTTCGAGACGACGTTACAAATTCTGGGTCTCCTCATCTCAGGGCATGACGTCGGGGGAACTGCAATCTGTCCGGCTTCGCTCTTTCATGAGCTTGCTTTGGAGGCAGTCAAGACAGCTATCCCACCACTCGTCAGCCAGACTTTGGTCGTCACAAACATGGTATTTGCCAGTCCTCTGGTCTATAAGCCGTCAAAAGAAGCAAATGTTTCTGTGCACTTGACGAAGCATATGCCAGACGGCGGCGCAGACTTCAAAGTTTCTTCAACTTCAGCTAGCGATCCAACAGAAAACGTTCACTGCACCGGTGTCGTATCCCTACGAGATCAACACGTATTTGACTCTCAGCAGATCAAAGATGCAGCGCTTATGAAGAGACAAAAGCAATACTTTGACACAGTTGGGAAAGAACACAGCAGCATTTTCCGAACTCGGGTGCTGTATGAAGTTGTCTTTCCACGCGTGGTTCGGTACTCTCCCGAATACCAAAGCATACACTATCTCAGAGTGAGCGACTCGAACCTGGAAGGCATTGGGTCGTTCAAACTTCCTCAAGAATCTGGGACGAGCTACGTCTCGCACCCTGTCTTCACGGACTCAATTCTGCACACCGCTGGCTTCATTGCAAACACCGCGGTTAAGGACGAAGATGTGTGCATATGCGCGCGAGTTGACGCAGTGGAGATATCCTATCGTGACATCGATTTTGGAGGCACCTTCCAGATATACTGCAGTCTTCTCGAAGTCAAGGGTGCTTTCCTCGCAGATGCCATCGTCATGGATACTTCCGGGCAAGTAATTGCCGCCGTCAGGGGCATGGAGTTCAGGAGACTTCGTTTGTCTACGTTCCAGCAGATGCTGGCCCGTAAGTCCACCGACGCTGACAATGAGGTTTGCGCTTCATCAGGAGACAATCTCCAAGTTCCAATTGATTTGATAACTCCGAGTACAAGCACCAAAGGCACCAATACCCCCCCTGAGTCACGCACCAAGTCCACCCAAGACGTTGACATGGCACTGAAAAAGACTGTCATGGACGTTGGTGGCTTCTCCATTGAAGACATGGATTACAACAAGCCATTAGACGAGCTGGGGATTGACTCTCTCATGCAGATCGAGATTGCATCCGGACTGGCGCGAGCATTCCCATTCGCAGACAAGATGAATCATCGTACTCTGTCGCAATGCGAAACCTTAGGGTCCTTGGAGATTGCTTTGGGGCTTATGCTACAGTCCTCTGTGGAACCTACTTCCGTTGTAGGAAGCCCCAAGATGGTCAACGAACAGCCTCCCGGTTCACCAACTCCAGCCCCGTTAACCCAGATTTTGTCTGACAGCATCGGGGACAATCCAGTTGCGCTGCACACATCTCACCGGGAAACGACGCCGCTGTGTTTGTTCCATGATGGGAGCGGACAGATCACCACGTACGCCAGGCTAAGGGGTTACGATCGCGATGTATTCGCTTTTTTTGATCCGTCATTCGGGAGCACAAAGAAATGTTACGAAACCATACCTCAGATGGCTGAAGATTACGTGTCTCTCCTGTCAAAGTCTGCGCATTTCCCATTGATGGTCGGCGGTAAGTTCAGCTTTCCAATCACTTGAGCACCAGCTAATCATCAAAGGGTGGTCTTTTGGTGGGGTCGTGGCGTTCGAAGCAGCAAGACAGCTGCTTTCCAAGGGGTTCGAGGTCAAGGGCCTGGTGTTGATCGACTCGCCGAGTCCCGTCAACCACAAGCCACTCCCGAAGGAGATTATTACCAGCATCACAAGATCCAACAGATCAGATGGCCAGCCCCAGGAAGGAAAGCATAATGCTGCACTAGAAGAAGAATTTCAACGGAACGCGTCTCTTCTCGAACGCTACGGTGCAGATCCATCTGCAATGACACGCATGCCAGGCTTGAAAACCGTCATGCTGAGAAGTCAAGACGTTATGGACACTGAGAGTCTTGTGGGTTTGCGTTACGACTGGCTGAGCAATCAGAATGACCGAGATGGTTCCATCGCCGCCTGGGAGAATCTAGTTTGCGGTCACATCAAGGTGCTTCCTATCCCAGGAAATCATTTCGAAGCATTCAGCCCTGCAAACGTTAGTCCTCAACCAACTTTCACAATAACGAACCATCGTAAAGCTAACCGATTTTAGATTGCCGAGACTGGTTCACAACTTTGGAAGGCCTGTCAGCATATTGAAAGTTCCTAGACACAGACGGGCATAATCGTATGAGCGCTTTCCACGCATCGAGACATTTCAGATAGAACAAAACTTTTACATAGACAACAAGCACATTTATCCCAATATAATCCTTGAAGTTGGTGATCATTCGTAGTCTGCTGGAAATTTGTGTTGTTGGAGTTTGCATCAACGTCTAGCAGACAAAACACAAAAGGCTGGTTTTCCTCATTCACCACACTTGCGCCCCTTCGATATATGGTCAAATGATATTACCGTCGATTAGGCAGTACGGTCGTTCTTACTAATCCTCATCTTAATCTCTGAGGACGTCTTGTAAAGATGCCCGAGCGCGTTCGTGTTCATTCCTCATAAAGACATCATCCAGCCACACCCACGCTTGAACTAGTGTTGCATTCCGCTGAGGATCAATTCTTTCTATACTTCGTAGGTTGGAAAGTCAAAGTGAGATCACAACTACATGTATCTATGTCGTTTCAATTCATATCCAAGGCCCCGTATGTCATGAAGTGGTTTGTATAAGTATGCCATGTTGCTATTGCGGCGGATTCAGATAAATTATTTGGGCGACAGTAAAAGTCTCAGGCCTATAACGACATGGACCCACCATCAGCCTTGCCAAATGACTTCTATCAGTCCCGTGGCCGGGCCAAAGTCTGCTGCTTTGGAAATGGGCTTCATGGCTCTTATTTTGAATCTCGGGTCAGCCTGCTTGAACAACTCGATCCACTCAGCTCCCTCTCGCTCGCGACCGTGCCCCTGGGTAAGCATGAGCATGTCGAAAGCCCTGTGTTACAAATGTTGTTAGCTCCGATCCACGAGCACAAGCCAATAACCACACAGAAGGCAAAAACCATACCTGACCATCCGTTCAGCCATTAAAGACATAGTTCCCGGCTCAGGGACCAGGCTGTCTATGACGATGAGTCGACAACCAGGCTTCATCAACGGAATTTGGTTCCTGATGATGCGAACGCAGTAGTGATCCGGCCAGTTGTGGAAACACTGTTTGATCATGTACGCGTCCGCCGCCTGGGTCTGTGGCGTGAAGAAGTCGTACGGCATAAACCTGATCCGACCCTTCAGCTCGGCCGGAACGGCAGCTTCCGCCCCGGCCATCATAGGGGGCAAGTCCTGGACGATGAAGTTGAGATCGGGATACTTGCTCGCCAAGTGTATGGCATCAGCACCCCGCGAGCCACCCACATCAACGACGGTGCCTTTGCCCAGCGAAGCCCACAGCTCCGGGTACACGAGGCTCACTCGCGGGGCACTCTCGGAACGGTTCGCAAAAGACATCATCGCCTTGGCGAACTTCCTCGCAAACTGGGGGTCCTCCTTCATCGCGTCGTATCCGCTTTGCTCTTTACCCTTCAATATGGCCATCGCCGTGTGGCTGGGCTCTTGATCTTTGAACTTTTCGAGAGCATCAACGGTCCTCGCGGCCGTGCCGAAGACATGATCGCCGAGCAGCCAGAGCCCGTCCGCCATGGAAGGTTCCTGGACCAGTCTCTTGGAAGCGAGAGAGTGTGCGACGAAGCCCGGCCGAGGCTCACAGAAAAGACGGTGATAGACCATGGCATAGCGAAGGATACGACGGATGTCTGTCTCATGAACATCGCAGAGATGAGCCAGCTCAGTGAAGCTTATTTCCTTGTCAAGCGGGACCTTGTTTGGGATATCCCATCTCGAGATGGCCTGCAAACTAGTGCCATACGCCTGAGTATGGGGATTGACTAGTCAGCCACGGGTCAAGGGAGATGAAAGCTCGTCGGCCTCTTGACTTACAACAGGTCGAAGAATGGCTGCAGGACCTTGCAAGAGATCAAACAACTCTAAAGTGGACTCTAACACCTTGACACGAGCATTCTCAGCTGATTCTGCGTCGATTTTCAAGTTTGTCGGTCCGTCAGCGTCGAAAGACGGGCTCGGGAGATCATTGGCTTTAAGGTAGGAGTCCACAATCTTGGTGTTGCTGAAGATGGACTCAGCGAGCCGAGAAATGGTCGTGGGGACGGCCATTATCGTTTGATTCTGATTTCAAGAGCAAATTATTGCGCCCGAAATGATCGTAGTAAACAAATTCAATGATCTCTACGTACAGAAACTGCAAGGAAGTGACGTGATATATGAAGCTGCCCTTTCGTCGATGCTCCCTTCGTACACCTGCGCACTCAAGTACAGCCTTGGATTCCAATGGTTCAAGCTGACCTCACGACATTGGTTCTGGCCACAAACGTCGATGCCAAGTGATTCTCACGTCACATATAGAAGAAAGATGCATATTGTCGCTGAAGTAGGCCGAAGAATCGTCGGGGACCAGGGTCCTGGCCTACACAACCCACAAGTCTTCGGCGACTTGTCTCGATGTTACATTGGTCCGTTTTGGGATTTACGAGGTGCCACACACCGCATTTAGGCGGATGCGGCAGGCACATCCGCTCCGTTGACATGCCTCCTCGGCGGCTTTCTGGGAACCGGGAACCCATCTGATCTAAGCCTTATCAGGGACATAGTAGCCCACACCGTGACGGCAGACTCTGGAGGGTGTTCGTAGTAGTAGCTATCGTCCTATGTCCCGATGAGGGGGACAGGCGGCCCGTAGTTGCAGCGCCAAGCGAATCCTTCAGGATTACGCCAAGGAATGACGGCGGCAAAGCATGCGGTAAGTCGACAACCACACGGTGCTCGTCGAATGAGCTTAATCGCCATGTGTTGTTCCTTGGCTGGTAGTCTTAATTTCTGCAGAATGATCGACCCAATGAGACTCTGACATCAGAAACAAATGCCGCCGATGAGCTAATTGACTCAAATTGGCGGTAGCGGACTCCTCTCCTGTGGTCATCAGATGTCTACATGTGATGTGACTCCCCTCCCTGAACCTCCGTATGACTTTATGACTTTGAAGTGTTGTTCAAAGAGGCGTAACCTAAAACTCGATCAAACCATCAAATGACATGGGTCGGACAGGATCGTACCTCGACTAGGGCCGACAGGCTACAGTAAGTGGCGGCTTCAACGCGCGTAATCAAGCAAATCGGCAGCCGTTGCGGACTTGCGATGATGTGGGGGTCCGTCTCTTCGTTCACTTCGTCCCCACGCATCCACATCACCCTGCGCGATGCTGGGCACGTTTCGTCGTCGGCCATTGAAAGGCGAGGTTGTCCGACTCAAGTTGTTGACCGGAGTGGATACGTCGCCATTAGTTCGGCCGTTCTGGAACCAATTGAAGCCCATGGTTGGATCGCTCGCACTTTACGATGGGACGGGTGTATCCGAGCTGCATACGAGAGTAGCGAGTTACCACAGATAGCTTTCTGGGCCGGCTTGGTGGCGATGCGGGCGCTAGGTCACGGCACCCCTGGAGGCTAGACAAACTTGATGGATCACGGAAACAGGTGGGAGGTTGCATTGGCTGAGTGAACCCTGACCGCAGCGAAATCAAAGTCACTAAACACTCTATCAGACCATTCAAACCCGAATTAGCGTTGCCAATGCTGACGTCCTGTCGAGAGTCTGGAACTCCCACGTCGGCAGCGGAGTCTTCGTTGTTAATTACCGATATGTGTCCCGATTTCATGTGTGATGTGCCCCCAACGATCCTACAGTGATCAGTAGCTATCGTAATACACACCCGACTCTCGCCTCTCACCACAGACACCGACGCCGATTTCCACTTCCGATGGTTGGGGCCTCAAACCAGACTACCGGGCCCGTTCGGGCATCATGCGATCGTTGCCACCAAGACAAAGTGAGGTGTGACTTTGACGGAGCCTTGGTTTGCCACCGATGCCAGCAAAGGAACATCGTGTGTAAGCGCAGCCGGCCAATGCCAATGGGCCGCGCTAGGGGCTCGAAACACAAACCGCGACTGCAGCTGGATCGGGAAAGACCCGAGGGAATGCATGATGCGACTATCCTGGACTGTCCGGTCGAACTTTCGTCGCTCCTGTTCGCGAATTCCGAGTAAGTCTCCGCGCGTTTGACGAAGCCCTCGGACGAGAGATGGCGGTTTTCCTTAGATATTGACACACCTGATCAGGGACAGTTCTGGAGGTGGCGTTGCGTCGGGAGAGAATTACTTCCTGGGCACCTTGACACCAAGTCAGAGTAGCTCCCATGCTTCGGACTTGAGATATGATAATTCGAGGAAACATCCTCTTGACTGTCAAGAGCAAGAATACGGCCTTACGGAGGCCAACAGTCTGGAACGACTCCAACCGAATCACTATCCTAGTCCTCGCAGTTGCCCATGCGACGAGGTGTTGGGGGAAATACTTGCCGCCAGACCGCTGGCCAGCACGCATAATCCGAAGGCCACTTCAGCCTCATTTGAGCAGATAATGAATTGGAATAAGAGCGCTCTGGGTGGTCTTCGACGCATTGTGGCCTGCAACAAAACCCACGGGAGCCAGCTGGCTTCCCGGTTTCTTCTGCTCGCCCAAGTAATATTATCCATGTGCGATGAAGCGTGGTGGAGTTGGTGTGAGCCTACATATCACACGCGGGTTGACAATACTTCTGAGGACTTCCGCCAAGGCTGGGAGACAGGAATCGAAAGTCATGCGATTGACCAGGAAGATGTTCCATTCCTGCGGACCCAACTGGTTTCATTGCTTGTCCAGAAGTTAGTAAAGGTCCTGAATCAGACGGAGCTGATTGGTGACGAGGGGGACTTGGATCGCTTGAATATCGAAGTCTTGCAGGAATCGGCATGGAGACTAATCAGGAAACTAGAGCGTAGGGGAACATAAACACATGGTGTATGTAGAGTACCACCAATCATGAAGCGTAGTCCCAGGGGACAGAGCTTGTTCAGACTAGTTTAGAGAGCGCCGGCTAGAATGAAGATTGTTAAACTGGCCTGTAAGCGGGGCTGTCAATATGGCTGCCTCTGACGGCGTGAGGGTCCGAGACAACACGAATGCTGATGTCTGACTGTGTCAAAAGCACGGAAGGCTCCGAAGATGCATCGGCGACTTGAAAGGCCAAGAAACGTTGGCGGTGCCAAGCCACCGAGTCTTAGGGGTTCCTCCGTGCAACCAGGTGTTCGGTTCGCCTGATACCGCGTGCCTGGTCGTCTTGCAAGGATCGATGACAGGCTTCGTGTTCATCCGATGTTGTTATCGCATTAGACTATGTCAATATTGATGTTGTCCATGTCTCGAGTTTCTCTGACTATATTGATACGAAATATCTCCCATCAAACCAGAAAGTTGGTTGAACAATACCTACATTGATACCTTTTGACCTTTGCTGCCTTCAGCGCATCATACAGCATGGCGTCGGATCAACTCTTGTTTTTTGGTGACCAGACTGTCGAAACTGGTCCCTTCCTGCGCGACCTTTCCCAGAAAGCGAAATCCTCGAGGAATCTTCAGAAGTTCCTCCTCGATGCAGGCAACAACCTCCGGACACATGTGTCGACCCTCGAGGAAGGTGTCAGGAAGTTAATACCAGAATTTCACACCGTCGCGGAGCTCGCAGAGGCCCGAAGCGATCCGGCTGCGCAAGCAATCTTGTCACCGGTCCTGCTCTGCATAGCACAGCTCGGCGATCTCATTCAGTAAGTGGTGGATTCAGACAACTGGTTTCTAGAGGAAACTGCTAAAGCCTTTTGCGCTCCCAGCCGCACTGAGAAGACCCCAAGCCTCCTCCAATCTAGCAGCGATGTCCCAGGTCCAGCACGACACTTGGTTGGCTTCTGTACAGGACTTTTGCCCGCCGCAGTTGCTGCAGCTTCGACTAGCCTGGCCGATGCCACAAGGCTTTCTCAAGAGATTGTGTTGCTTTCGATCAGGCTTGGACTTCATGCGTACCGTCGCTCCGTGGCTATAGAAGCCATATCCGGAGTTTGGTCAGTAGTCGTCCTTGGGCAAGACGCCACACAGCTACGCTCAAAGATAGATGATTTCCATCAGAACCAAGCAAGTTTCCCTCGTCATTGAATGAGCACATCTCTAACGTGACTGCGTAGTCAACCTTCGCCCACAGGCACATTTACGTCAGTTCGGAATCGCGATCCACGTTGACTCTCAGCGGACCTCCGTCTGTCTTGCAGTCCTTCCTGTCCTCCACGGCAATGTACGGTGTACGGAGCACATCCCTTCCCATATATACCGCCTTCCATGCGTCCCATCTCGCCGCTCCAGATGTTGGCGCAATAATCGGTACTTCACCTGTGTTCACTACCAGGATTCCTCAAGGGACTACGCTCTTCTCGCCGACCACTGGATCTGCCTACGACGGCGAGACTCTGTACGAGTTCCTGCGACAAGCTCTTCATGACATCTTCCAAGAAAAGCTCTTGCCGTCAAAAACCCTCGATTCAGCTCTTCATCGTTCGTCGGGCTCGAAGCTTTCGGTTCACGTGTTCGGCCCTTCTAACGCGGGAGGCTTCCTGGAGAAGTCCCTCGCTGCGTCCGGATTCAAAGATGCGAAGGTCCAATTATCTGAGATTGCCGAGACTGGTGAACCCCAGGATGCCATTGCCATTGTTGGCATGTCTGGTAGATTTCCTGGTGGTGACAACCTCCAGGCCTTCTGGGATATTCTTGTGCAAGGGAAAGACCTCCACAAAAAGGTGAGAAAGACGTCGAGCTTTCCGTTGCACCTCTGAGTATTATGTATTGACGGCTTCTGCTTCCATTGCACAGGTGCCCAAAGATCGCTTCGACGTTAACCTTCACTGCGATCCAACCGGCAAGACCCCGAACTCCACCCTCTCTGCTTTCGGGTGCTTCTTGGACAAACCAGGTTACTTCGACAACCTCATGTTCAACATGTCTCCCCGCGAAGCTGCTCAGACGGATCCATGCCAGCGGCTGCTGCTGATGGCAGCGTACGAAGCACTCGAGACAGCCGGCTACAGATACGACGCCAAGCCGGATCGAGGCAACGTCGGGTCCTTCGTAGGGCTTACGACGGATGACTGGCGAGAGTACAACATCAGCCAGGAAATCGACATGTATTTTGTCACAGGTGGTCTTCGTTCGTTTGGCTCGGGAAGACTGAACTACTTCTTCAAGCTCGAGGGGCCTTCGTATGTCCTCGACACCGCTTGTTCTTCCAGCGCGGCATCCATTGAGCTGGCCTGCGCTTCGCTCCTTGGTCGTGACTGCGACATGGCTTTGGCTGGTGGAGCCAACGTCATGACCGGTCCGAATCTCTGGGCAGGCCTCAGCCGAGCTGGCTTCGTCTCCCCTACGGGCTCCTGCAAGACTTTCGACGAGACCGCCGATGGCTACTGTCGCGGGGAGGGTGTTGGCATTATTGTTCTCAAGCGTTTGGAGGATGCGATCCAAGCGGGAGATAACATCCAGGGCGTCATCAGGGGTATCGCGACGAACCACTCGGCGAACGCCCTGTCCATCACGCAGCCTCACGGCCCGACGCAGAAGAAACTATACAACCAGGTTTTGCGTAAAGCCAATCTGACACCCGACCAAATCCAATACGTCGAGATGCATGGAACCGGAACCCAGGCTGGGGACGTTACCGAGATGAACTCGGTCGTGTCAACGTTTGCATCCGGTCGCGAACCTACGAACCCTCTCTACGTTGGCGGCATCAAAGCCAATGTCGGTCATGGCGAAGCAGTACGTATATCTCAAACCCTTTCCATAAGTTCAAAGCGTGCTAACTTCTGCTTTCTAGGCAGCTGGCGTTACTTCTGTTATCAAGGCACTGATGATGTTCCGGGAGAATGCCATACCTCCTCACGCTGGGATCAAAACCAGAATCAACAGCAAATTTCCCCCGCTGGAGAAAGCTAACATTCACATTGCTCGCGAATTGAAACCTTTCATGACCGACAAAGAACCAAGAAGAATCATGATTGGCAACTTCGGCGCGACTGTAAGTTTTGGGTTTCATCAATCTTTGTGTTATTGAATGTGGCACTAATAGCTACGCACAGGGTGGCAATACTTGCATGGTTATCGAAGAGCCGCCTCGAAGGTCTATCATTGGCAAGGATCCTCGCAACGTCCAAGTTGTTACAGTTTCGGCAAAAACCCGATCTTCACTCAGAGGCAACAAACAACGGCTCCTCGACTACCTTGTCAGGTATCCGAACTTAGGACTCGAGAACATCGCGTACACTCTGACCGCACGGAGGTCCCATCAGCCTCTGCGCTCATCCTTCTGCGCATCGAGTGTACAAGGCCTCATCAAGGCACTTTCCTCAGACCTTGGCAGGACCACCGACGTCGTCAACAGCGTCGGCCAGGGCTCCATTGTGTTCGTCTTTCCGGGACAAGGGGTCAAGTTCTTCGGCCTTGCGAAGAATCTTTATGGTTCATGCCCGCAATTGCAGCAGTCGATCTTGGAACTCAACAACATCGCCAAGACCCTGGGCCTGCCGCCGTTCATCGATCTCATTCTCAGAGAACAGTCGAACGGAGCCAGCCCAACGCGCACACATCTCGCCATCGTGGCTCTGGAGATTGCAATCGCTCAGCTTCTCAAGTCGTGGGGCATTGTTCCCAATGCCGTACTCGGCCACAGCTTGGGCGAGTATGCGGCCCTCTGTACAGCAGGTGTGCTGACGGTCGCCGATACTCTTCTCCTCGTCGGTCGGCGGGCTCAGTTGGTTGAGAAGCTGTGTGTGAAAGACACCCATGGTATGTTGGCGATCAGTGCACCTGCGCAGAAGGTCCAGACTCTCATCGACGAGACCCCCGGGGCGGGCATCGCCATCGCCTGCTTCAACAGCCCCATGTCGGTTGTTGTCAACGGTAAAATGGAGGCCTTGGAACGCTTCCGCACGACGCTGAGAGAAGGCAATTCGATCAAGTCGACCTACTTATCGACTCCTTACGCATTCCATTCAGCCCAGCTCAACCCCATGCTCGACGCCTACCAGACCGTGGCCAAGTCTGCCCAGTTCTGTAAACCATCCATTCCGGTGGTCTCGACTCTTCTTGGGCGGGTGGTCGACAAGGACGGTGTCTTCTCGGCCTCTTATCTGGCCGAGCAGACTCGCAAACCGGTTCGTTTTGAAACGGCGATCACGGCGGCTCGTGATGCTGGATACATCACCAACAACACCCTGATTGTGGAGGCCGGGCCCGGCGCTATGTGTCTTTCAATGGCAAAGTCCACACTCGCTGCCCCCTGCAAGCTTCTTCCGGCGTTGCAATCCGGGAGCTCTACTTGGGAGGCTCTTTCTCAAATTGTCGCGGAAGCTTACACGAGTGGCGTCTCCGTGGACTGGGCAGAGTTCCATCGTCCTTACAAGCCCAGCTTGTCCGTCTTGGACCTCCCGACATACCATTTCGACCTCAAGGACTTCTGGATCCAGTACCGCGGTGGCGTTGCAGCCCTCGAAAGAGACATGAAGGCAAAGTCCTTGCAGGGTTCCCAGAGTCCCGGACAGGCGTCCTTGGGCACTTGCTTGCACCGTCTCGAGTCCGAAGACATCGCAAAGGACAACGGCACGGTCGAGTTTTCGGTCGACCTCCAGGAGCCGTCTTTGCGCAAGTTGATCGATGGTCACAACGTCGTCGGCATCGCACTCACGCCCAGCGGCGTTTATCAAGAGATGGCTTGGAGCGCAGCCCGTCATCTGCACGGTCGTATGAGCCCGGGTGGTTCAGATGCGCAGATGGTTTTGCAGAAACTTGACATCTTCTCGCCCCTTTTCCTGGCGCAGTCGACGAGCCCGCAGATCGTCACGGTCCGCGCAACCACCAAGACAGGGTCCAACACCTTCGTCGTCACCGTCAGCTCGGACAAGGACCACTCGCGCTGCGAGCTTGTCATTGCACCTCCCCACCAGACGCAGAAGGACGAATGGAAAGCTCGACGAGCCCTAGTCGCGCCGAGATCCGCCGAGCTCATGCAGCCCGCATCTCAACATCCCGTGTACCGGCTGTTCAAGCAGATGGTGTACAAGATCTTCTCTCCCATCACGGACTACTCGAGCGAATACTGGTCCATCAACGAGGTGTTCATCGACCAGTCTTTTACCGAGGCTGCATTCAAACTGGATCTGCGCGAGACTCCGGCCGGGTCGTCTTTCACCTACGACCCCTGCTGGCTGGACAGCATCGCCCAAACCGCTGGCTTCCTGCTCAACTCCAATGCGTCCAATCCGGCAGACGTGGTTTACATGTCTACCGGTTGCGATGCCTTGAAGCTCAGCAACGAGCTGACAGGCGGGAGGCAGTACCTCTGTTACGTCCGCGCGGAGATTTCGGACAACAGCAGCAGTGTGGTCTGTGAAACGACCGTCTTTGACGAGACCAGTGCCGTTGCCATCGGCGAGGGTCTCAAGTTCAAGCGGGTGAGAAAAGACCGCCTCCGCCAACTGCTTGGCTTGCCTTCGGCAATACAATCCGATCAGGTCAAGAACAAGGCTGCCCCGCCAGAGAAGAAGATTGCTGTCGAGAAGGGAGTCAAGCAGCCCCGAGTGACCAGTGACTCCACCGATAAGCCAACCGCAAAGGTCTCCCGTCGCGAAACTTCGGACCACGAGCAACTCTCCGCCGTACTGAAGGTTATCAGTGCCGAGGTCGGGACTCAGCTGGAGGACGTGGAGAACCACACCACACTGGAGGACTTGGGCGTCGACTCCCTCCTCACGGTCGCCATCACCTCCAGACTGAAGTCGGAGCAGAACATCGAACTGCCTGCATCCCTCATCGCCGGCCCGACCACGATAGCAGAGCTCATTGCCTACTTTGAGGATTCGACGGCGGATATCGTTGACGAGCCCACCGACGAGAGCGGCGCCTCTACCCAGGATTCGCCATCGTCCGCTATCTCGACTCCGCCGACTTTGCCAGTCGCCGATTCCCCGATATCTGGCATCCCAGGCCTCGAGGGTGTCGACATGAAGGACATTCTTCTTTCTGTCATCGCCAAGGAGAGCGGGCTCGATCCGAGCGAGATTGGCATGGACACCTCTCTCGCTGATATCGGCGTCGACTCTCTCATGAGCATTGCCATTATCGGAGCCGTGAAGGAGCAGACTGGAACCGAGCTCCCGGCTTCTCTTCTCGCGGACTGCGCGACCGTATCGCAAGTTGTCCGCACTATTGCCAGTGACAATTCCCAAGGTCCGTGATATCCCTCAAATTCCCCCGTCACCATCTGCAAAGGCTCACTCTCGCTAGACGACTCCACCCTTTTTCCGTCAGAGGAACTTCTTCCCCAAGTGGTCCTTCGGCAGGTGAAGCCATTTAACCCTGAAGAGTACCACAGCAACGTCGTCCTCCTCCAGGGCCAGCCGCAGAGTCAACAACGCCTGTTCCTCATCACAGACGGCTCCGGTTCGGCAGCGGTCTACCTCCACCTCCCCAAGCTAGCTCCGAACCTGACAGTCTACGCGCTTGAAGCGCCTTTTCTGGGCAGAGCGTCTGAGTTCACGGGCAGCATGGAGCAGATCGGGTCCATCTACGCGCGCGCCATCCGCTCCGTGCAGCCCCACGGGCCCTACATGATCGGCGGCTTCTCCGTGGGCGGCATGTTCGCCTACGAGACCCTGCGCCAGCTCGTTGAGGGCGGCGAGGAGATCCACAGCTTCCTCGTCTTCGACGCCGCGTGTCCGAAGAAGCTGCAGGGCATCCCGGACGTGACCGTCGAGGTCTGCGAGATGACGGGCATCTTCGACAGCATTTCCGAGACGGACAAGCGGAGGCCCCTGACGCTCGAGCAGAAGACGTACGTCGCGGGCTGCGTCAAGTGCGTCATGAACTACGACCCGGTGCCCCTCCCGGCGCATGCCAGGCCGGTGCACACGTTCATCATCTGGGCCCGGAACGGGTTCTTCGACAAGCTGTCTGACAAGGTCATCGAGGCGGACAAGATCCTGACGGCCAAGAGTGGCCTACAGAAGGAGGCTAACCCGGACTGGATGGAGTGGTTGACCGTGGAGCGTAGTTCGTTTGGTCCTAGAGGTTGGGATAGGTTGGTCGGGGATGTCGAGACGTTTGTCGTCGACGGTGATCATTTCTCCATCATGATGCGTCCAAGGGTAAGAACCCCCCCACCCCCGAGACTTTCGCACCAATCTTGTAAAATGGTTGACTAACACCAACGGCACTCAGATCACCAACGAAACGGGACCTCTGGTGCAGAAGTTGGCCAAGAAAATGGTATCGACGCTGAACAAACCTCGGCAACTAACGCAAGTTGCCGAGTCCCCCGCAGCGCTTCAAAAGATTCGAGACACGTTCAAGAACTCGACTGATCTCGTCCTCGGCTTCTCCGACGAGGCAGGATGCTCTGGGTTCTGGGACGAGGTGTTCCCTACCCAGCAACAGTTGGTCCTCGCCTTCGTCACCGAATCGCTGGCCCGGATGGGCTGCAACCTAGACGCGCTGGCGCCCGAAGAGGCTCTGGAAATCACCAACACTCTCCCCAAGCACCAAAATCTGCTCCAGATCATCTACCAAATCCTCCAAGACGGCGGTCTGGTCAAGTCCCAGCACGGCAGGTTCCTCCGAACCTACCAGCCCGTCGACAAGACACCCTCGTGGGCGATCTACAACCAGCTCATCCGAGACCACCCCCTCCACAACAGCGAGCACGAACTCCTCCAAGTCGCGGGCTCCAAGCTGGCCGAGTGCCTCACGGGGGCGATCGAGCCGCTCAGCCTCATCTTCGGCAAGAGCCGCGGCCTGCTTCAGGAGTTCTACACCAACGCGCCCATGTTCGTGGCCGCGTCCAAGTTCGCCTGCGAGATCATCGGGCGCGCGTTCGCGGGTGTTACGTCCCGCGTCGAGATCCTCGAGGTCGGCGCCGGCCTCGGCGGTACGACAAAGTACGTGCTCGACAAGCTCGTCGAGAACGCGGTCCCCTTCACGTACACGTACACGGACATCTCGTCCTCCTTCCTGGCCGAGGCGAAGAAGAGGTACGCCCACCTGCCCCCGGGCAGCGTCGAGTTCGTGCCACTGGACATCGAGAAGACGCCCCCCGAGAAGCTGTGCGGGCGGTTCCACGCTGTGCTGTCGTCCAACTGCGTCCACGCCACCAGGAGCCTCGCGGCGTCCTGCGGCAACATCCGCAAGCTGCTCCGCCCCGGGGGCTTCGTGGTTCTCGTCGAGTTCACGACGAGGCTGTCGTGGTTGGATCTGGTGTTTGGGCTGCTCGAGGGGTGGTGGCGCTTCGACGACGGACGTACGCATTGCTTGGCTGATGAGCACTTGTGGGAGTCGACGCTGAAGGCTGTTGGTTTCGAGAACGTGCTCTGGTCGGACGCTGAAGGGAACGATAAGCCGAATCCTCAAACTCTCGTGGCTTTTTGAGGTTTGACGTACACGAAACCAAGCTCTGGTTAAAATAATTCTATTATGTAAATTAATTGCGAAACTGTAATCCTTTCTTTTTCGATCCGCTACAGCACGAATTAGATTGACACATTTTCTGTCTCACACAATTTTGCCAGACTCGAACCTTGGCTTGCCCCGCGAAATCGTTTCCGAGTCTCCCAAAGATTACCATAGAAGTGAATTGAAAGTTGCTATGAGAGAAATTGTTCTTCACATTGCCGTGGTCGGCGCATTTCCATGGGGATGGACACAGAAGCGCCCGGTTGTACTAGGAGGGCATCAGATAGACGTAGACAACGCCCAGGAGATCGCTGCTTCCCTGTAGAGTGGCGTAAATTGGAAGGCCCAAGTAATAGCGTGTAAGGGATAAGAGGCATTTAGACCCCGACGTCTTATTTGTCACCCGGTTTTCTGGAGAATGAAAGCCCCAACAGAGCCATTTTCCGCGGTTTCCCTGCCCTCTTCCACTCAGAATGTGGGTTGAATACCATTGTAATCTCAGCGCTTATTGGAACACTCGGACGTTGAAGAAGATCCTGAATAATACGAACCCATGATTGAAGGACTTGAAGTCATGCCCTGGGAATGGACAAATTTGCCAGTTTAACATTTGTTACGCTCGCTCAAGACCTTCTAGAATGTCGCCATAGGTCTGGTGAGTGCGTTCTGGGACTCACACGGCCTAGAAATATCAACGTCGTCGCGGCAGATTTCAAGACTCGAATTGGAAGGGGTTGTGGGTGGCTGCCGTTTTGTTGTCTGAGTCTCATATTAGAAGTTGGCAACGCCGTCTGTAGAGTGTAGACGTCAACGACTTGGTGACCATGCCTGCGAAAACGGAGCGAGCGGGACCGTTCCCTGTTTACCGTCCCTCATCCTCGCTGTTATCCAGTTATCCCACTGCGTATATTTCCGTTACCAGAGGGCCTAACGACGTCTTCATCACAATAAAGGCATGCTGTTGATGTTGTCAGACTGGGTTTTGTGGACACAGACGCCTTCCTAGTCATTATGTCGGTTTCAATTGACCCTAAGGCCGTGCCATCCACGCCTGCCAGTACGCCTGTCATGCCGGCGACTGGAAACCATGACATTGAGGGATGGCAATCTATTGACGGTGCACTTTCATCGCCATCCAGGTGGTCACCTAGATCTCCCCAGTGGCTGTCTCGCGGGTCCATCACTGGGACTCGCTTTGAGTCGACTTCTTCTGACGTCACCGGGGGAAAGCCAGGCAGAACCGTTCCAAATGCGTGGATGACCATTTTGAGGATAGGGGCATAGGTATTACTTTTGATCAGTGTGGTTGGTGCCTTGTTCATATTTAACCCGGCTGTTAACATGACATCTAGCGGGTAAAACACGTCAGTGCTGATGTAGACTCCCCGGGATTTTGTTCTTTGATCATTTGCTTCATACTGATCACGGATATGGAATGTATCTTTCCCCCAGTGAACGGTCTCGTGCAATTTTTATCACGTACATCTTGAATATTTGCCAATTACACTATCATGATGCCTACTAGAATACTACATTCCTCCTCTAAGCTGTAAACAAATGATGCTAATCAGGCCTTGGTTGTGATGATAATCCTCTTGTAACGTCTAATTGGGTGTGGCCCTTTCTTCGTGCGAACTTGCAAGACCACCTGCCATTCTTTGCCATCCGTGAAGGCGCTATCTTCAACCGACACCTCAACCCTTGAACCAAGCGTGACATTCGCAAATCCAGCTTCGTTCAGAGAGAGCACGCCGTTTGTACCAGAGGGTGAGGCGAGTGGCTGAATGAAAAGGCCACTTGGTTGCGGCGGGTACACCTGTGCTGCAGGATACTCAAACCATTCAAAATCGAGCTGGCTCAGAACCTCAGGATGATCGGCGTCACATGTGCTTTCTCCATCCAATATGATGGACTGATTGGCCTTGAGGTCGAATCGTAAAACTTCAGGGCCTGCAGAACCATTCACACTGACCAGAGGCGGATGAGCTACGGCGCTGACGCTCTGGTTCAGGGTCCATTGCATCCGCGCGGCAAAGTCGTCCTGCATAGCGTCTCTCCAGCGCCAGATCGTCGCCTGAATACTCGAGTATGAAGTCCCATCAGACAATGTGAGGGCATCCAACGAGTTTCCATACCAGTTGATGCCGTCGACGTCGACCACCTGAGAGTATCGGCCTCCCCAACCGCCCAGTTCCGGCTGCTCGGTTGCAGAAAGACCATTTTGAATGAGCCACAGGAAGCTTGGTGTATCGCCTTCCATGTTAAACTCGATCAAGGGATAGGTTGCGCCCAGAGGCCCAACGCGGATGTTCGGGGTGATCCACTCGTCTGTGATCTTGGTGGTGTTTGCCAGTCCGTTGGCGTTGGTATTGACTCCCGTCCAAGTCGCGTCGCCGAATTCCAGGAAACCATGCATGCTAGAAATGTAAAAGATGTCTGGCCACTGAGACTGAATCCATGTGCCAGTGCCGTCTTGATCTGAGATTGCATAGACCCTGAGTCGAGACCGCAGCAGCGCAGCATCACTTGGGGATTTCTCTGCGTGTATGTGCTGAAGAGCCTGAGCAAGAGTGTTGGCGCCACCCCAAAGGCTCACGTGTAGGGGATTTGACGACTCCTCGAGCTTCTCGATGAGCAGTTTTGCGCCTTCGCTGAGTGTGGAATTCAAAGCTTCCATTCCGTAAACCTGACCACGGCATAATTAGTCAGATCGTTCTCTTCCTCAGAAAGCTGCTTGGGAATGGAACACTAACCGTGGGTCCGGATGCAACGAGGGATAATAGCTCGTCGGAGCTCTTAAACTGAAAGTCCGCAGAGACATGCTGATTGAGGTTGCCAACAACCATGCCGTACGCGCTGACGATTTTCTTCATCTCTTCGGGATGTGTAGTATTCCTCAAAAAGAACGATGTTGTCGCGCAAAGCCCGCGAATGTCAATTTGGTTTGAATACACAAGCAGGCGAACCAGTGACATGGAGTCATCTGGCTCGTTCAGGATGTCGGAGAGGATGAAGACGCGCGGTTTCGAGAATGAAGAAGGATTGCCGCATTGAATCGACTCGGCGCTAACCGTGGGTGTGATGTCTTGTGCCCAGAGGAATGCAGAGAGCAGACACAACAGCGGAGTGCGAAACATCTTGTGAAGCTGGCAAGAGAACGTTGTGTGTATGGAGAGACCGAGAGACGAGCTACCAAGGACGTGGAACGCACACACTCTCGTAAATTTATACGACCAGACACTTTGGGCAGCCCATTCTCCCGTAATAAGATAGCTCTGCGCTGATGATAAAAGCCGGCTTGCTACAAATTGGGAAATCACAGGCATCCATAACCCACCGGCTTCTTCAAGGGCAAGTCGAGCTTTGCCTAGCTGTAGTCACTTCCGCTATCTGAGGTGGTATCCCGTCGGCTCAGGAACCAACAACCAAGTAGTCCGAGCCGACTTGTTGCTCATCTATTGCACTGAACACCAGCTGCGGGAAGAAATGACTGCATCATCTCTTGGAAGAGGAAATTACTTTCACTGCCGTAGTCCACGTGGACCGGGATTCATGTGCCTAATGTTTCCACTTCAGGAAACATGTTTGCGAAAGATCCTGGGGAGCGGCTGGGGACCCCGCGGTTTAGCATGCAGATGCGATCTCACTCCCCCAGACTGTGGAGAAGTCGGAGGTAATATGGCCGACGTTGTGTTGATCGCTCTCGGGTTTTCCGACGAATCATGGAATAGCCGGCCGGCAGTTTCAACGGCTCTTGTTCAGCAAGCTAACAAACATCGGTTGATTGGTAGGCAGTTTTATTAGAAATTCATGCTTAGGTCAAATCCTTTTTTCTTTTGAAGTAGGCTTTGGGCAGTTTCTCGCCCGCCGCAACCAACGTCACCTGCAGAGTTGGTATTCCGAGAACTGCTTTACAGCGCCGAAGTTCGAACCTGCGCATATGCATTATTGCTAATTATCTCGTGGGCTACGTTGATTTGTCTCATTTTACTTCATGCGTAGATGACTCAAAAACTTAAGATCCGTCAAGCTCTCGCATTTCAGCATGTCTGTCTCAATCCTCGGTGAAGAGGCTCGGTGTATGTTGCTGTCACCAATCGGCCCGCGTCCATACAGGGCTAGCAGCTCGCGCTCGACCTCGGCATGTCCATTTCGGGTAGCAGTGGAGTTGTCCTTAGTCAGCTTCTTGGCGAAAGAAAAGGATTTCGCTTGGGACAGAATTTATCTCCATCTATGATTTCAATGTCGACGTCGAACAACATCCAGGAAGCAGACGTTGAAGTGCGCAGAATGGCTGGAAACAAGGCGGGTGCAGACGATGCGTCTACGCGCTCAGTGGGGCCCCGAGTCGTGTACTTGACGCTGTACAACACTGTTTTCGCGTGCCTATGGGCGTCTATCTTCATCAGCACCGTTGCCAACGTCCCCCACGGCAAATTTGCCATTTTCCAGGCCACAGAGCCACGGGCGAGATGGGTTCAGACGTTCACGTTGATTGAGGTGGTGCATGCTGCTGTCGGTGAGTGATCTGGGGAGACGAGCCGGGACGAGGTTTCAATGAGCTATTTTCTGACAAGTGCCATCGGCTAGGTCTTGTGAAGTCGCCCGTAGGCACGACGGCACTCCAAGTTGTTGCCCGTACTATCATTGTCTGGATGGTGTGGTTCAGCTTCCCGGAGAGCACCGCGTCATCTAACGCATACCTCGCGCTTGTACTCGCGTGGTCCGTTGCAGATTTCGTTCGCTATGCGTACCTGACTCTGAATCTTCATGGCAAAGCAACATCTAGCCTCATCTGGCTAAGGTAAACACACCTGCATCTGTAATCTAGGACTTGAAAAGTTCTCATGTTGACCACTTTGGCTTAGGTACTCCCTCTTTTATCCACTGTACCCCATTGGAATTGCGTCTGAATGGTGGCTATTGTACAAGGCCATTGAACCAGGTCGTCAAGTCAGCACCGCTATCCCGCCAATCTTCACCTTCTGCCTGTGCCTGTATATCCCTGGTACGTCATTTGGTGGCCTAATTCCTTGAGAGTCTTTCATCTAACATTGGTGAAGGGTCTTACACGATGTACACGTATATGATCAAGCAAAGAAAGAAGACTCTCTCCAAGGCTTTGAAGGCCCAATGAGATGTCGAGTGTGGCTCATATGACTTATCTTCAAGTTCCGAACCTACACTTCTACTGCAGAGCTTTTTCCACAGAAATCTCCTTCATAGCTTCAGATTTAGCACAAAGTCGTAGCTCCCATAAGTACTACTACAGACACAACTGGCGGTGATAACCACCTATACAAACGCGAATACGAATACGCATCACAAACCTGCGGTGTGCCTGTACAATCTAAGGTGAACAGCAACGGTTGAAGACCCCGGCCTTGTGATGTGACGGTGCGACGTAAGGCGAGATTTTGGCACGCCCACTCGGGCTGTTCAATTTCTCAACTGCTCCCGCTGACTAACAAAACCCCTGACACAAGTCTGGTCTTGCCACAGTCAATAGCTCATAACAGACTCAGCAAGTGCGAGTATATGGAGTTCGCGCATGAATCATGTGCACAGATTACAAATGGGCATTCGCGTATCGATCACGTACCTGGTTTCCAATGTTTGATGTCAACTGAGGACGAGCTCTGGCCATCGGAGAATTCATGCCGGGAGCTACAGGTTGCCGTCGGCCGGTCCAGGCTGGATGCAACTTAGATGCAAGTATTGATCATCATACCCGATTCGTAGTAAGACGATCCGTAAGCAAACAGGCATTCTCGTCCTTGCGGGTAGTCTTAGCTGAGCAATTTGACTAGTTTGTCCGGCACCTAGGGGCATTCCGACCCCGATGATCGTCAGGATCCACGGCCGACCCCACACGCCGCGCCAAGTCGGCACCGCAACTCGCCCGAGATGCCCGTCCGTGATGATTCTAGTCCTCACGTTTCAAGTCGTTTAAATATCGAGATTCAAAAGTAAGTCTCTAAGTAAAAAAAAAAAAAAAAAAANAAAAAAAAAAAAAAAAAAAAGTTCTTAGTATCTTACAGACATCATCTCTATTATCACCCGCCATTTGAAACGCAGAAATGGGCTCCCTTTCCAACAAGTTCGCAATCGCCGATAGCATACGGCGTGAACCGTCATCTGGTCTCTCAATATTGGTTGTTGGTGGTGGTATTGCCGGGCTTGGCTTTGCAATCGAAGGATATCGAAAGGGTCATGATATCCGTATTATCGACCGACGACCCAACTTCGACGACTACGGTAATACTGAAACAGCCCTCCCCCCCCCCTCAAAATCCTCTCGCTAAACTAAAGTCCAGGTGACATTATCGGCATTGGAGATTCCGTGGTGCACTCTATGAAGCAGTGGCCTAGCTTTCTAGAAGCTTGCTACCAGACACCATTTCCCAGATCCTATGATGCATACAAATTTGACGGAAGTAAGATTGGCAAGCTTGGGGAGGGTCTGGGAATGAGCAGGTCGGAGTTCCATTCGCTGCTGCATCAGTATGCTCTCCACATCGGCATCCCAATTCGCTATGGCGCGAAGGCGGTCGACTACTTTGAGATTGAAGATGAAGCTGGCGTTGAGCTTGAAGACGGAGAGAGGATTTCTGCAGACATCGCTGTTGCTGCGGACGGCATTGGTTCCAGATCGTGGCGGTTGATAGCCGGCACCAAGGAGCAACCTATAAGCTCGGGCTTTGCTCTGTTCAGGAGCACGTTTCCTGTTGAGTTGGCTTTGAAGAATCCCTTGGTCGCTGAGGCTATCGGGAACATTGAATGCGTTAGCCGACTCTTCTTCGGCTCGGGAGCTCATTTGGTGATGGGAAAGACTCCCAAAGATATGATATGGATGCTTACTCACAAGGTCAGTCGATTCTTCATTCACTAGCCGTGTTTTTGGCATGTATTCTAATTGATAATCGGTGATTTAGGATGACGGGAACGCCCAGGAGGACTGGGCCAAGCCTGCTGACCCAAAGGATGCTCTGCCGTATGTGGAAGGGTGGGCACCCTGGATACAAGAGATTATCAAAATGACGCCCAAGGACGGAGTTGTGGACTTCAAGCTCATGTGGCGCAATCCGAGGGAGAAATGGGTCTCTCCGAAGGCCAGGGTTGTTCAGATCGGCGATGCAGCTCACACCTTCTTGCCCACGTCGGCGAGTGGTGCGACCATGGCACTTGAGGATGCATTCTCTCTGGCAGCTCTGCTTCATCGAAGTGGAAAAGCCGAGGCACCTCTGGCCCTCCGAATTCAAAACAAACTCCGGTTAGTTCACACCTTTTCGCTGGTCAAATTTGGTCTTATTAGCTAAACGTTCCAATTGACAGGTTCGAACGCGTGACTTGTGCCCAGAAGATGGGGTTCAAGAATCGAGAGAACTTTCACAATACGGACTGGGATGCTGTGGCTAAGAACCCATCATCAATTCTGAAGCAGGTTGATAGATGGGTTTCCGAACACAATCCGGAGCAGTACGCGTACGATAGTTATGACAAGTGTTCAGCTCACATTCTCTCTGGAAAGCCATTCCAAAACACGAACACGCCTCCGGGACACACCTTCAAGCCATGGACGGTGGACGAGCTTCTGGCATACGCTGAGCGAGGAGAGAGAATTACGGATGACGGTGATTGGTCGTGAGAGACATTCAGAGCATTGATCGCGATTGAAAGTCAAGATTGTACAAGGATTGGCATGTGGCCTGAATAGAAAGACCGATATTAGAAAGGAGCATTAGATTAGAACATAGCATGCCTTGCACGATGCTTTTACGCGAGTATCCGTTAGTGAGACGCAGCCCGGACATCAAGAACGGCACGGATGAGTAGGTTGCAAATAAGACTCCCGAAGGAAGCAGGTACTCACTCAGTCGTATCCCAAGCCGAAGCTTCCAAACGTGGCATCGATGGTGAGTCACAAACCAACGGCAGGTGCAAGGGCGCTGCTGCAGGGAAACATTCGAGTCGAGTTGGCTCCTGCTTGCCTTGCAGCTTCCCATTCGACTGCCCATGTAAGTATCTAGGTTGACCACCGATCCGTTCGACGTCAAGCTACCTCGATCACCGGCATTCGTTTCTTCCCGACTTTATCTTCCAACTACCTTTCGCTAGCTTCTTTAGTATTCCTCTTCATTTCTAGGAAGCAGAAGTAATCATGACGGACCCCCATATCCGTCAATACTCCCACCTCGGTGGCACCACCACTGAGCTCCTCGAGCGTTTCGCCGTTTCTGAGCTCTGCAAAGGCTGGCCGGTCTATCGCGATGCCAGCGAATGGGCCAACTACCGCTCCATCTTCGCCGATGACGCCATCGTTTGGACAAGTGCGCACATTTTCCCTCCTCCGTGGAAAAGTCTAACACATGAGCCATGATGTGTAGCTTGGAGTGGACCTCAGCCCATCGAAGACTTCATCCGCATCTCCATCAGTGGGAAAGAAGCTGGTGCCTTCATCATGCATCGCGAATGCGGTACCCTTGTCGAACTCAATACCGAGACGAACCGCGCCGTCGGCAAGATGAAGGCTACGATCACGCAGCGGTTCCAACACCCCGACGGCTTCGAATACGACGTCGACTGTGACTGTCGCTTCATGTTCTTCTACGAAAAGACCACAGATTGGAAGGCCGTCTTCGTCAAGTTGGTCTACGAGAAGGACAAGTTGGTGCCCGTCGATGGGAGGGTACCGTCCTTTGCCCCTGAGGTCTTGGCCAAGTACCCCCAGGGCTACAGGTATCTTGGCGCAGCGCAGAGCACGCTGGGCTATGACATCGACTTAGACCTAGTAACGGGCAAAAATACTGTGGGCATGTACCGATCGATTGAGAGATGGTTGGAAGAGCCGGCGATGTCTCGTTCTTTTCGTCCAGAATGATAGTTGAGCAGGCAAGAGGGAAGAACCTCGAGGAGCAGAAGTCTCTGGAAGACGTGCGGTACCTGGAACCTAAATTCGAACAATACCATTCAGTGATAGTACGAATTGACAAAGATGTGGCGCGAGTAGGTCAGGAGACGTTTTCACGAGAAGAGCTCCTCCGTCATTGGGTCCTGATTCATCCTCGTTCCACAGCCAATGTGGTGATTTGCATTACATCTATTTCAAGGCGGTTTTGACAATGCTCGCTACGTTCCATGCGCCGAGTAATCATTAATCCCTCCGCCATGCAAGAATTGAAAGTGAGGCCCCGCTGTTCCAGTACGCCAGACACACTGTACCCAAGCCCGCTCATGATGCCCAATGATTCTTTTACGTATGTCCTATCAGACGTTCCAACATATACATGCCCGTCCATAACCCATCTCTTACAAGACCATCCATGTCAAGATGACGCCTGACACTATCGCAGCGAAGCTGGGGGAGGATATTGAGGCTGATGACCCAGAACCTGCCGACGGAAGCCCCGACGTCTCTGGAGAGGCACCGGTTGGGAGATTTGATCCTGTGCCGGAACCTGTGCCGGAGCCAGACCCGGAACCAGATCCGGAGTTTGAGCCGGTCCCGGCACCAGTGTTGGGCACGGTGGTAGTACCGTTGTTGACCGGGGACGTTACAGGGGCACCGGGACACAACCCCTTGATGGCAGGAATATCTTCTGGGCGGTTGATAGCCATCGTCCTGGTGCCACAGTTGACGTATTGAGCAAGGTAGGCGGCATTCGTATCGAGATCGAACACGGCTAAAAGGGTTTGTTAGCGGGATCCTCACTGAAGATTATCATGCTTCCAACGTACCATAGGCTGAACGCAGGAAGGTGTCGCCCAGCAGCGTGAAATCCGAGTTCGGAACAATGCCAAGGTAACAAACCGGCGGGCTTGTGCGCAGCTCACGAATCATCTCCTTGTATGGCACCTTGATCTTCATCCCTTCAAAGTCGAAGTCGACAGTTCCGTTGAGGTTGACCAGAGTACAGGAGACGGGGTAGAATCCATTAGCATCGAGACCCGGTGAGCCAAAGTCGGACGCAATCGTGTTCGCGATATCCATAGGTAGCAGGGTGAGAGTAGCTCCGCTGTCGAGGAAGACCGGCATGTTGCTATTTGGGTAGTATCGTGTTCGTCCGCTCGGCGGGGTGATGCTCATCTGGGTCATTTCAACCCAGTACCGCGCAACACCATCAGGAGACTGGTCGGCAGGAATGATCGGCAGGCGAGCCAGAGATCCAGAAAACTTCGAAGTGTCGATTCCACCGAAGATGATGGCCCCTTCCTGCTCATCCTTTGATCCTAGAGCCAGACTGAAGGCCTTGGTCTTAGTAACGTTCTGAGCCGCAAGTTCGTCGATGAGGTTCTTGTAGCGCGTGTTGACTCCTTCACCGGCGCCAATACCAAGGATACCAGCAAACTGATCTTCCGAGCTCGTGGCAACACCGAACTGAACATTCTGCATCGTCTGCCGTGACCCGGCGAGGGCTAGATTGTCGCGGACATAGGTGATGTTGGCAGCGCCAATGCCGTAGCGCAGCGTTTTCGTCGTGCGCAACGGAGTGACAGTTGATGATTTGGCGGTGTCGTAGAAGCCGACGGCTTCACAGAAGCGTTGATCTGAGGCGCTGAGTATGCTGCAGTCCGGGTTCACCCACAATTCGAAGGACCCGGTATCAAGCTGGGCGTAGACGGGTTGTGGGGGCGTGCCGATGTTGACTGATTCTTGTGAGTCCACAAACACGGTTCTTGGCAATGTTTGATATTAGAAGAGGGGTTGCGGTAGCTTACGTTGCGCGTAGTATGCCACATCTGAACGGTTGGCGAGCTTCGCTTCGACTTGTCGGCTGAAGACCCCACGCTTCGTGGAGTGGATGACAGGCAAGGTGACAAAGGTAGCCTTCATGTCGACTTCGTCGTCTACCGGCAAACCTCTCATTGAAACCGGAGGCTGAAGCTTTGGAGCAGCGGGCAAAGCCTCCAGATCGTCGGTGAGGATGTCGTCGAGCAAAAGCTTCCGCGGGCGGTTCCCATTCACACGTCTCCTCCTCAGCCTCGAAGTCACCGGTAGCGTCATCATCATCGTCTCCGAACCCTCATCCGCCGGTAGAGGAAGCCCTCGCGGGGCAACATTGTCCTTGGCGTCGTGCTGCGTCGTGTAAGGGATGACGGGAAGAGTCATAAAGGCGCCAAAGTCTCCGTCATCGGTTGGTAGTGCAGGCCATGCTTGTGTGCGGGCGACTAGCGAGAGGGCCAGTAGGGCGGAAGAGAGTAGCGCCATTTCTGGCGCCGGGAGAGAGGGTGGAAATTCGGGCTATCGCGGTCGTCGCCACATGGGAACTATATTCAAAGAGGCGCTCGGGGCGGATGTTGAAGTTCACCAGACAGATGAATCGATCGGCGGACGGGCGGTTCAAATCTCGAATTCGGCTCTCAGAGCTCGGGCGTCGTTCAACGAGCGGATTGGCGAAAATGGATCACTAAAGTTTACGACAAAAGGAGCGGAACGAAGAAGAATATCAGAAAAAGAAAGAAAACAGACAAGCTGTGTTGACGTTGGATGAATAACGACGATCCTGTCGGAAGAAGATGAAGAAAAGATGCCGTTCAAACGGCAAACGCAACGCAATGTAAAACACGCCTTGGCTGGTTGAAGAAGAATACTAAGAAGAGGGAAAATAGAAGCAGGGACTCCACCGTCGACGCAGTCAACGATTGAGGACGAAGGGAATAATTGGTAAGAGGGAAAGAGAAACCGAGAGGAGAGGCCGTGACAGGAATAGGAACAGGAAGAGATCGACATGGGTTGAAGACACCACACAGACAGAGAGACGAACTGGTCGGTACCTTGTCCCAGCTGTCAACGCCAAGGGAACGGGGGGCTCGAGGATGGGGAACCACAGTGTCTCAAGAGCGACATGGTTCGCACGTTTTTTCGCCCTTCTCTTCTGGTGGCTCCCCTGTCGAATCTCGGTGCCCGCAGAGAAGGCCGCTGAGCCAAAATCCAAATTTGGCACGCGAGCCAAGAAGCTGCGAGCGCCGTCCGAGGCTACTACGGCATTCTTGGGCTCGGCGGAAAGCAAACAAGCAGCATTTCTGCGCCGACCGGTGGGATATTCCCTCGAGACTCTTCTCGCAAAGTCTCAAGCTTGGAAGGGAACGCAAGTGATTGAGACTTGGCAGTCGGGCCTTGGCAACCTCGAAAGACGATGGCAACGGCTCTGAGTGGCCACTATGGGCATCTCAAACAGTGACTAGCGGCCTGGCGTCACAGATTCCGCTGGGGGTTGCAGGCGAGCCAGGGTGCGGAAATCGTAGATCAGACAAACCCTTGAGACGAAAGCGGACGCGAGTGGTGTGAGACTCAGCGGCACTAAGCCCCTTCAGGTCACCTTGGCCCTGTCTTGGCTCCTCTTTTGAGGGCACTCACCGAGGGGTCGGGAGGGGTCCTTGGGCAGAATCTCTGCGACCTGTGACCTGAAGGGGCGGGAGAGATCAGAGCCGAGAGAGCTGGGCGGCGTTGGCCAATTGAACGATGGATAATGATCCGAGAACGACAGCATCGAGGATCTTGTGAATTTCGCGAGTGCTTGTTCTGAAGGCTTGATGCATCTGTTAGCCAATCCTCTTGAAGTGATCCGCGACGGTGGAGCACCAGTCTGAAGCAGGGAGAGCATTGAAAATGCCCAGCCGCCTCGATGCCTCCAACAATCAGACCATGCGTATGCTTCTCTCAGCTCATGGCCAGCAATTCCAAACACCACTGTGAAAGAGAAGAACAGGCGCGAATACAGGAAGATTGAGTTGAAGAGGCGTATGCAAGATGAAGAACAGAGATGGAATGGTTAAGGTTAGAGTCTTTCCGTGCAGGACGTCAACGACTCAGTGGGGATGGAATGGGCCCTTCAGCGGGTCTCCCGCGCTTGTGCCCGTGCCTTGCTACTCAGTCCGTCTTCCATGTCGATGTCGACGCCGAGCACTGTCGAATGACTCCGACCTCGTAATCCGAGTAGCACCGGAAGCCAGCCAAGACATTTCCAAAGTTCGAGATTGCAGGTTTCATGGATAGTGTTGATCAGCATGCGGCTACTATTCCTTGATCGTTTATTCCACCCAGTCCGGATGGTGTGCAGTCGCATTCGGTGCTAAATTTATATACACCTCCGCCGCCCTTCGTCCGCACTTTTGAGGGGTCACGGCTCAACTTGCCCCCATCATGAAATATCCTTTCCCAAGCCATCCTCCAGACTCGCCAAGATGAAAAAGCCATAACGCAGAAGCTCGGCGGTGTGATGTTCTGTGCTGGCCAAGAGAGGCTGAATGAAGTCTCAATTTTCAGCCAAGCTGTCTAATGCACCCTGAAGTCTGAAGGAGTCGATGTTCATTTCATTCACTGCGAGAGTTTCAACTTGACAGCGACAGTTGAGACTCTATGTCATCACCGCTGGTACGTGCGGCTTAACGCATTTTGTTATCAGCCCAAAAACCTAAAATCAAAGCATAAAGCACGGGCGTGTACAATCTTTTGAAAGTGCCCGGAGAGGGGTCGGCGATTGAGGCTATTGATGCACTGATGTTGCCCGTGAATCTGCAACAAGTTGCTATTGTAGTTGAGCAAGCGACTTTTTTTATCGCAACCTTGACCAAAAGCTACAACAACTCCCTGCATCAATCTCTTACTCCCGTAGACCGAGTATCTTCACTCGGACTCCCTTGGTGTCATCCGTGGGCTCGCCCAGAAAGCAATCCCTGTGATGATCAATGTCTCTTTCCCGTACGACACCGTACAGCTCTAAGTCAAAACGTCGAAAGAGCTTGGCAAGAGCGATGTACATCTCAGCCCATGCAAGACTGTGATTAAGATCAGTCACATGAAACGATTGAACACAACGGTGATTTTGCGGTCAAAACTGACTTCATCCCTATGCAATTTCTGTGGCCACGGTGAAAGGGCAGAAAGTACTTGACGTTGCGGGCGTATAGAGGATCAGACTCTAGCCATCTCCCAGGGTCGAAATCTTTTGGCTCTGGGAATACATGAGGGTCCATCATGAGGTCGGCAAGGGTTGTTCCGATCGGCGTCTGGAGCGAACATGAGTGAAATTAGTCAATCACACGTAGAAGTGTATATGGTTTTGAGGGGGCAACATCAAATTTCGCGACGAGCCAGTGATTTCAGCTTACATTCGGCGGAATTATCCAGTCGTTGTATTTCAAGTGCTCTGTTGGTGCTTGCAGTACAGCTCTTGAGGTAATAAGTGCAGAAATTCGAAGAGATTCTTTGATAACCGCAGGCTACTCAGGTATAAGAATCCGAACGATTAGTAAGTCATGAGAGTGAAGTGTCTGGACTTACAAACCAAGTTAGATTCTCAAGACTTTTCAGGTGTGTCGATGCGTTGGGATCTGGCATGACCGAGTCTAACTCGTCCCTCAGCCGTCCAAGATACTCTGGGTTGGCAATAAGATGGTATATGGCCGTGGTCAATGTCCGAGCGATAGTGTCGCCTGACGCTGTCAAGACGCCGAAGCCTTCTTGGGCCATTCGCTTGTATGACTTCTCTGAATCAGGTAGATTCGATGACAGAATAGCTTGCATGAGATTGCTCGGGGCCGCAGACTTCGCCTGCGTAGACCCGAAAGAATTAATAGCAACTTTTGCCTGCTGCCTGATGTTCTACTCATCAATGATGGTGTGAGATGGTGTCAAAGGAGGTTGCATTAGGACATGAGCCTGACTTACCCAGTACACTTGAACCACAAGAGCCATATCCGCAGAAATCAGCTTTATCAACCAAAGAGGCAGTTCTAATGCGTAAGGTATGATCCAAGGGAACTGCCGGACAAACGGCGTCACATGCAACAGACCAATGATACTATGTCGCCACACCTGGGCCTTCTCTTGGTCTTGCAACAGCTTCATATCGCCATCCTCGCCAAGAGCATGGGCACAGTAAAAGTCAGTGGCGAAAGCAAGTAAAGGGATGCGGATATTGAGCGGCTCGCCATCGAACATAGCCTTCTTGAACACTTCGCATAAGAGGTCGACTTTCTCGTGAATGAGATCTTCATGATTTAAAACAGACATCCTGGAAAAGAACCCGGAGATCGCTGCCCTCCTTCGGCGGTGGAGTTCGTGGTCAACTGTGCCAAAAATACCGTCCGGAGTGCCCTGAACTCCAGCACTGGGAGGATACTTGTTTCGACGAGCACCTCCACCAGCATAAATTTTGACGAAGAACTCATGGTCATTGACATGAAGCTCATGCGGGTTGATGCGAACGATTGGGCCGTAATCTTGATGCATGCGCTGGATTTGGTAGGCGAATGTCTCGCGAGGTCCACCGAAAGTGTCAACGTATAACTCATACCAGCCGGTGAAGGCCGACAGTTTTGGACCGGGAAACTTGGACAAGGGATGAAACGTAAGTCGGTATACTCCCAGGCCAAGAGCGTAGAAAAGCAACACGAATACTATGACTGATACAGTAGACCACAAGGAGCCGCCAAGGGCTACGTAAGTAAAAGGTCCCATATGAATTTGTGGTGTTGTATGACGCTTGATAAAAAGAGTATTCCATGGACACCAGGGCGTTAGACAATGCTGGTGTTGAGGAACTAAGATATTAATGATGTCGCTTTCAGGGTTCTCTTCGAGTCCGACTCGACGAATGGATTGATCATGAGCCTGCTCATGTATATGCTAGGAAAGACGTGATCCTGGCATGTGAGACTATCAACAAGCTCCAGATGATATCTTTGACCGCTTGTTCTGCGCCCAGAATAGCTATCTCGGGGCTATGCAAGAAGAGCGGTCCTTGTTCCTTTTCTGGCGATGCATGGTGAATGATATGTGACGAGCAGGCGCTTGGAAGTGGGTTCATCACATATTGTGCCGCGAGAGGCGAAAAAGTCTTTTCATCGGTCCTGGTACGGCTGGGTAGATCAAGGTCAACAACGACATCACGATATGATCGGTGATGCATACATATTTAGATGGTAAAATGAACTAGCTACTTTTTCATAGGTCTTTTCGATAGTGAGATTGATTGAGCCAATGAATTTCGTCCTTTCCGACCACATTCATTCTAGTTACTGCAGTAGTCTTGCCGCATTTATCGACGCTATGTCACTGCACCCCAAGGTTTGCATGCGTGGCAGCCCACGTCATGGCAGGCATCCGTGTTTGGACAAACTTGTAGTTCCAAAAGCCGAGGCACAAGTCGAACTATTCACTACAAAGCCCACATTATGAACAAGAGGTGAGCCAGAACCCAAGATGGAACCCGAAGCTTTGATTTAATTTCGATGAGTTCATTGGTACACGTCTGACTTCAGACGTTCGATATCTGCACGTAGATGGATCTACCCCTCATTACTACCAGGGGATACTGTATTCTGGTAAATCAGTCACCCCACGTAGGCTTTGTCCGAAAGGCCCATGTGGTCAAGTGAAACTTGAAATACTGAGGTGAACGGTGACCACTGTACGGTATGCGGGACAACTGGAAAGACTCTATTGGTCGCTTCCATTTAAGAGTTAAGATGCCTTGATGCAAGCGAGTTGCCCGATTCTGGAAGGAGCTACACTTACCAGGGTCACGTCTCTTGCCAGTTGCTCAAACGCTGATATGATGTTATCTACAATGCTGATCTGACGTGTGCAGCGGTGAAGACCAAATCAGGCTCGTCAGAAAAGATGCGTCACAAACAGGGGATGGTTTCTTCAGCAAAATGCTCGGCTAATGCACAGCTCTCCAGTTCAAATCCCAAAATGGATGTTCAGCCGTCAATGGCATCATGTTGGTCTGGCATCAATAGCTACCGAGACCCCTGGGTTGCACCCATTTTGAGATGAACACCAATCTGAAGATGCCCCTCGGCTTCTAATTCGCTCGGTATTCATTCCGACTCCATCATTCAACCGTAATGTTCATCGGAGCGGTCCATGATAAGTCTGCTGACCGTGACCAGGCTTTTGAACGGCATCGAGGCGTCTAGGACCAAGTATGTATATAAGAGAAAGAACAATGTAAATCTTGCTAGTACCTCAGCTATCAATGCGAATAGCTTCACAATTTTCTGTTTGTTTTGATTGACTGTGACATGGCGCTGCACGGAAAGCCCATTCGCCAAGAGCTGCTTGAACAGTTGAGAGGCCAAGAGCTCCGCATTCCAGATCTCAGACTCATGTTCAAACACTGGCCCATGGATATCAATTCTCAGCTCAAGAGCATCCGTGCCTCAGTTCCAAACAGAATATCAAGGTAATTTTGGAGTCTCTTCCCAATCCGGTCAGCTTGGCCTTGTCGCTGAGAATAGCAGCCTTACCGAGTCTGCCCAGAAGCAAAAGCTTTTGACCAAGATTGACTCGGGGCTTTTTTCTTCAACATGGTGGCCCGGAGCTACCTTGGCAGACGGAGACATCTTGTCGTGCTTGGCTCTATGGGTATGTGATACAACCAAGACTCCGCTGATTAGCTTGGCTGGCACGAATGGTGTCAAAGCTTTTCATTTGGGATGACGGTATGTCTCCCAATGTCTCCGAGACACTTGCACCCAAATTAACGGATAACAGAAGTAGATGCGGAGGTCGGAGACTTGGCGAGTGATTTCCAAGCCGCCCAAACTTTCCGTAAAGAAACCATCGAGTATGTCCGCCATTGTCTCGGGCTTGATGAGGGTGATTGCGTCACTCGAGAACCTCCAGAGAGTAGGATCATTGCATTCTTCAAGGTAATTGGCGATGCATCATGTCAAGCCTACGGCTTAGGTATGTACTTCACTGGCCACTATGATTTAATACATGACTCAAATAAGAGGTATCTAGAACACCGAGAATTGTTGTTCAGAGAGCTTGAATTCTTCATGAAAACGTCCAAAGTAGAACAGAAGCGTAGACTGAGCCCTGATCTGCCTTCATTAGAGGAGTATGTTGAGACAAGAATGGGAACGAGCGCTGTCAATGTCACCAGCTTCTTTAACGAGTGAGTTGCATAAGTCCAGGAAGAGGTCTTGACTCACACGCCAGAAGGTACGCGTACAGAGTGCCGCTCCCAATCAAGATGCTCGCCGATCCTTACATGAAAGTCATATGGGACAAGACGAACATCATAATATGGGCGTAAGTTGAGACAGTTCATAATTGTTCCCACTCGCTAACCTGCATCACACAGCACGAACGATCTGTTGTCCCTCAAGAAAGAAGTGGTTAGTTTGTTTTCAATTTGAGGACATGTCGGGATGGAAGCCAAGCTAACACCGGAATCGTAGGGTCAACAAACAGTAGACAGCATTGTTCCACTCTTGTTTCGCCAGTTCGGCAGCTTGGACTTGGCCGTCTCGATGGTCGTGGAGACGATTGAGAAGGCCGTTGAGGACTTTGACTACGCTGCTTACATCCTTACTGAACGATACTCTGGCGACGAATCTCTGATTGGCAATCTCAAGACGTACATCAACGCATGCAGACTCAACTGTACAGGCAATCTGAACTGGAGTCTTCAAACCGGTCGGTACGGCGTATCTAAGCACACAATTGCAGGTGGTGTCATGATGCGTCTGGAATAGGATGTGGCAACCAGCAGACACCGCTAATCATTGAAATGGGGCCCCGAGATTGACAACGTTATCGGGTGCTTACGAATCCTTTGATGTCATCATGCTTCAGGTCTGCTTACACAACCATCGGAAGAGGACAAGGTGAAAGCCAGCGGATCTCTCGACACCCATAAAAATCAACCTTCTTCCTCTTTACATTTTCTGACAATAAGTCCTTGATGCATCAATCAGCCCGTCCATCAACCGTATCTGCAATGTCACAATCTCTGCCCAAGACCACCAAGCAGTGGAACGTTGTAGACGAAGGCGGACTTGCTTCGCTCCGATTCAGCGAACAGCCCGTGCCTGATCTGGGAGATAACGAAGTCCTCGTAAAATGTGAGCTTGCACTGGACACAAATCTCGACAATTGCTGACATTAATGGCGAAGTACATGGCGCTGCTGTGAATGTAGGCCTCGCCACAATGTCTCAACGATTTTCAACCCTCTAACACGATATGTCGTAGTTTCGTGACCTAGTCATCCACCAGGGGAAATATCCGTGGCATGTCAAACCCAACGTCATTCCTGGGTCAGACGGAGCTGGTGTTGTTCTGGCCGTCGGGAAACATGTGATTCGATTTCAACCAGGAGATAAAGTTATCACGGTCCTCAATCAGACACACGCTGCAGGGTCACCCGACATCCTAACGTCAAAGTTCGGGCTAGGCGCTGGGGTTGACGGTACCTTTCGCACCGTCGGAGTGTTCAACGAGCAAGGACTGGTGACAATGCCTGAAGGGATAAACTTCATTGAAGCTGCCTCTCTGAGCTGCGCCGGGGTGACGGCTTGGAACGCTCTGTTTGGACTTGAGGGAAAGAAGACTTCTGCAGGCCAATGGATCCTCACTCAGGGCACTGGGGGCGTCAGCCTTTTCGCCGTGCAGTTCGCGAAAGCAGTTGGCGCGAGAGTCATCGCCACTACTAGCTCTGATGAAAAGGCAGAAATACTTAAAAGGCTTGGGGCTGACCATATCATTAACTATCGGAAGACGACAGACTGGGGCGTGGCTGCAAAACGCTTGACAGGAGGTGGTGGGGTCGACCTTGTTGTCGAAATTGCTGGAAATAGCACATTGAAGCAGAGCGTAGCCAGTGTAAAGCTTGACGGCACCGTCGTAACTGCCGGTTTTGCTGGAGGCGATGGCCAAGACCAAGGTCTGCCAACTTTGCTGGACACTTGGCTCAGTTTGTTCACCGCTCGAGGTGTGTGGGTTGGTAGCAGGCTTCAGATGGAGGAGATGTGCAAGGCAATTGAAGCCAATCCAGACAAGCTACGGCCTGTTCTTGATCCCAAAATCTTCAAATTAGAAGATCTGGAGTTGGCATATCAATACCTACAAACCGGAAGGCATCAGGGCAAAGTCGGCATTGACATCTCCTGAACTAGGTGTATCCATTAAGATAGACATCATTCGCTCTTGGAGTTATCTAATTGAGGAAAGCCACGTAACAATGTCTTATGCCTTATTCATCCTCGGATGTCGTGATAGTACATTTGATGACTCCCGCCTCTGAAAGACCCAACGTAAGTCTCATCCTAATTGAATTGACACAAAAGTGATTGCGCCGAAAAAGTTAAACATAGTTGTTATGTTGAGCTCGTGTAAGCAAGTTGCACTACAAACAATGAACCAGAGGGTTATCTCGTCTACTTTGTCCGTCACTGAGCAAATCATGACAAGTTAGACTGAAGTCCGAGCCGAATTAGCAGGAGCCTCCCTTCTGCGGCCAAAGCTCCGGGTTAACAATAAAACTCCCCGCAATAAGGAAAGTCTATTAAATGGAAGTCATAAGAGCTATAGAACCGATCTTATGCTCATCGTTTTCAATTAAAGGAAAGTCAATGCAGGTACCAGACACTCCTTTAACCTTCATTGAGTTGTCGATTGTTTCTTTCCGCCTCCCATGGCAATTAATCTGAAGCGGTGCTGCTTCACCAGCCAGAAGCTCGTTTATCTGCCGCAAATGGTTTTCGTCAATGGGTTCAACTGCAAGAATCCACTCCGGTCTGCCAAAAAGCCGTCTCATGTCAAACAACACTGCTACGGTAGTGCTGCTGCAACCATGTCCGAGTTCATCGCACCCTTAAGTTTTCTCTCGAGTCGCATCAGGCTTCTGACCGAGAGCATTTCGTCATTAATCAGAGCTGCGGACCGAATTGCGCTTACAACAGTGCATAAGGGGAAACTTGACCAGGTGTTGAACATTTCCGGCGAAACGAAACAACTCGCGAGTAAGGTTTCAAAAGATGAGGCCATCACGGGACGAAACTGAAATGCAGCATGTGTCCGCCCAAAGTCAATGCCTCTCCCGGCCAATCACTGGGCAGAGATTTCGGCCGTTGAGTATTCCGATACCTTACAAGCGCCATGTGGGAGAAACTCTGAAAAGTTTGGCGCAAACTTCATTAGACGACCCATTATCTCATCATCATGAAAGCAATGGAGTGTTCGTGTGAATCGCGTGGGAGCAACGGCGTTGCTCAAAACGGACTTCCAAGAACTGAGTTCGGCTTCGCGGCTTCTAGCGAGTGTCACATTGATTGAGCATTCGTGGAAACAGATGGGAGAACCCTGCTTCTCCAGGCCGTTGGCGTTGGTTTGACTTACGCGCCCCCCTGACTCAAAGAGATTAGTTTGGTGGAGACCCTGAGAAATAAAGGGTGTGATATAATGGCGGCGAACACATAATTCCTCCGCAAATCAACATGGCCTCCAATGACAGCCTGCTGCTGGGAGACGCGTTTCTGATTGACATGAAACACCGTCATTTGAAGGATTTCGACCCGCAACCCCATAATATTATTCCTTTGAGAACGGGCACCGACGGGAATAAACTCATGACACTCAACGGCGAGCGCACTAACCAAACCTTCATTGATCGAATCGAGCAAGTTGGCGCACATGGGTCTTTTCCATTGATTCCGTATGGCTCGGAGACACTTTACCGAATGAGGCTCGAGTGATCCACTGGCCCTTGCTATGAGGCCATGCTCGTCAGTCCCAATGTGTCTTGATCACCCGTTCGGACGGAGGAGGGTCTGCGAAGCTCCTCCAATCATTCAGATCAAACGTTCTCGCTGTAACGCTGTCGCAAATTGGATCTGAAGGATATATAAAACATTACCTTGGCGCCTACTTGGCGATCGTTCTTCAGCCAGTCTCAACATCGTTCGCTGCTCCATTTCATACTCAATCTCACTCTTTTTCTCCACGCCAAGATGGCCAAGTTTCTTGTTCCTGCTGCGGCTCTGCTGCCCGTCGTGCTGGTAGCGGCGATTCCCGTCTCCAACTCCGTAAGCTGAGCCCCGTTGTTTCGTCCGATCGCAGCCCATTTCGCGACATTTAGACTGACCCGATTTTGCCCCTCTTAGACCGGCTGCACCGTTACCAAATTCGAGGATATCGCGACCGCCGTCTCGTCATGCACCGACATCACGCTCTCTAACATTGCTGCCCCAGCGGCCAGCCCCATCGATCTCCAGAAGCTGAAGAAGGGCACCAAGGTTACTTTCGACGGCACAACCACCTTCGCCACGACTGTCGACTCCAGCTTCGACCCTATCATTATCTCTGGAACCGACATCACAATTACTGGCGCACCCGGCCACGTAATTGAGGGCAATGGCGCTGCTTATTGGGACGGCCTGGGTTCCAACGGTGGTGGTGACAAGTGAGTACAAACACTCGGGCAGAAATGAGATACGTGAAGCTAATGCGCCCGAATCAGGCCCAACCACTTCGTTGTTGTCAAGAAGACCAGCAACGCAAAGATCACCGGCCTGAACATCAAGAACTGGCCTGTTCACTGCTTCTCCATGACTGGCAACCAGAACCTTGTTGTATCTGATCTGATCCTTGACAACTCCGCCGGCGATGTGCCCAACAACAAGAGCGGCACCAAGGCTGCAGCCCACAACAGTGACGGTTTCGACATTTCCTCCAGCGACTATGTCACCCTCGACAACATCAAGGTTCACAACCAAGATGACTGTGTTGCTGTCACCAGTGGCACCCATGTCACCGTCAACAACATGTACTGCTACGGAGGACACGGCCTCAGCATCGGCTCCATTGGCGGCAAGAGCAACAACACTGTCGATAACGTCGTCTTCTCCAACTCTCAAATCATCAAGAGCTCAAATGGCTGCCGCATCAAGTCCAACTCCGGCACCACTGGCTCCGTCACCAACGTCACTTACAAGAACATCACCCTCACCGACATCGACACCTACGGCATTGATGTCCAGCAGGACTACCTCAACGGCGGCCCGACCGGTTCGCCTACCAACGGCGTCAACATCAGCAGCATCCACTTCGTCGATGTTCAGGGTACTGCTACCGGTAGCGACGCCTACAACTACTACATTCTTTGCGGTGATGGCAGCTGCTCTGACATCACCTTCGAGAACACCAAGATCACCGGAGGTGGCAAGGGCGGCAGCTGCAACTTCCCCGCCAGCGGATGCCCCGCATAAGCGCTTTTTGGGCGTTTCTTTTCCTCGTAAATATTTCATGAAGTGTATACGTATAAAGACCATCACGTCATTGGGAGGCCAGACCTCTAGGTCATGAGTAGCTGGCATATATAGACCGAACAATACCAAGTATATAACTTTATTACGATAAAATCTCATGGTGGGCAACGATTTGCGCACATTCTCGTCCAAACTCTCCGGAACGTTGGTGACCAACTCGTATTGTCTCACTTCATTTAACCGATCAATACCCGGAGTTTGGGGAGCAACCAGCTGTTTTGGAACCCTTGACAGCTTTGAAGTGGTCGTTCTATTTCTTTCAGTATGCCCCAGACTCTTGCCCATTGGTAAACTGAATGTCAACCTCTTAACACTCACAAAGCTGTGCCCACGGTATTACCCGAGTGGGTTGACACACGGATAAGCAGAATTTGAGACGCCGGTTCTCACATTGGATTTTACCTCGCAGTCGCTACATGCTGCTCAACGGTATCCCGGAGCGCGCTCACATCCCTAATCCTCTCGCCCCCCATTCAATCTCCAGCTACCACAGTACATCAATCAGCAGGAAAAGCACATGCAGACACACGCTGATCTAAATGTCTCTCCCCTACGACCTCCATCCCAACCCTACTTAAAACCCCCACACTGAACCGGAATCGACCAGTTCGTACTCCGACTCAAATCAAGTTGTTGCCGCTCGGTGTCTTGTATAGAGCGATAATCGCATATTTTGCTGAGTTCCGAGTTGGCTACCATTTGCTACTAAGGTTTCTGTCGTGTAGAACTCGGGCAGCAAAGATTATGGCGCCTCCCCCGAGGAGACAGCACCCCTGAAAATAGGTGTCTCGTCAGCAAACCTGCCAAGCTGAGCCGACTGAACAAAGAATATAAATATGACTTACAGAGAAAATGATAAGAGGATGATACCCAGTCCTGGTGTCGCTCTTAATCAAGGCCCCAGCCATCGGACTGCCCGTCAGGACAGCCATGGCGGTAATGGTACTAAATGCTCCAAGCCTAGCTCCGAGTTTTTCGGTGGGAATAATTTGCCCGGTGGCGGCAGGCATGACTGAGATAAAGACCCCAGACGCAAAGCCGTAGAGACAAGCGAATGCAACGAGTACCCCAGGCGTCGTTGCAGGAAGCCACATGACCACACACAACAGTCCGCAAAGAAGAATCATCGGGCACAGAAAGTTTAACCGGCCAATGCGGTCCGCTACATATCCACCGCTACTAGAATCAGAAGACGTCCATAGTTCAATCGGGTACGCATAGCACAAGGAGGGGGTACACACAGAATACGTCCGAAAAGACTCGATGCGTTGATGAGGGGCAGTAGGTACGACCGAACTTTTGAGTTCGGATCGAGGGCGACACAAAAGGGCTCTGCAAACCGTTAGATATAGATCCTACGCGAAGACCTGGGGCATCAACACAAACTCTGAGACTCACCTATGTAGTAAAATGGGACATACACGCCCAGGCTTGCGATGACTGCTCCAGCCGAGAGACATGAGTAGCGTATGTCTAAGAAGCCCCTGTAATCAAGCAAGCTTCCGAGAGATTTCAGCTTCCTCTTTGGATGCTTTGAAGAGGACACAACTATGGCCAAGCCGTAACAGGTCAGCAGAATCACGGCGCCAACACGGAGTGCCCATGCAAAGCCAATCTGGGGGATCAGTCTCGAAAACATGATCGGGAGGCAAACCCCGCCCAGACTGCTGCCAGATGCCACAATGCCCATGGCCATGGCACGCTTTCGGTGGAAATATTGCCCTGCTACGGTGAGAGCCGGCTACGTATTCCAGGTTAGTACGTTTTAGAGCCTGCATTACTGCGAATGAAGCTCCTCAACCAATAGTCCTGGCGAATGAATAAGATGCGACCCACCTGAACTCCGTAGGCAACAGTGAGGCCAAAAAGGAGAGATTGAGCCAAGAACTGCTGCCAAATCGCGTTGGGCTGAGTGAAAGATGTTGCAAGCATAGAGCCAGCGCCCCCGATCGCGGCGAACAGGTAGAGCCACTGAGGAAAGTTTAGCATCTTCATGGCACCCATCCTGAGCTCCAATGAAGTAACTTACTTTGGGACCGTAAAGATCAAACAGTGCTCCAGCGACCGAGCCCGAGAGGTACATCAGCGTGATTTGCAGCGTGCCAATGAAGGATATGGCGGTCGGCGAGTAATCCTTCAGATATTCTTGTTGGTAAAAAGTCTGGAAGAAACCGAAGCTGTTTACGACGCCAAAGGATGCGAAGTAAACCAAGAAGGAGCCGGTAACTGCGAGCCATGCCTGCGTGCCTCCCTCCGGATACACCTCTTCTTGTGCGGGCGAGAAAACTCCATATTGGGTTCCAGAGATGTTCTCAGGGTCGGATGGAACGATGGAGTTGTGCTTCTCGGACCGAGACTGACCTGATAGAGTGTTACCCGCCATGGTTCACAACGTGAACTGGCTTGTCAAATAAGGTTAGGTTGGCAAATGTGCTTACAGCGAGGATGATGTGGCGACCGTAACGATACGGTCAGTAGTGATGTTGATGGTGTTTGCAACAAGACTTCGCTCGAATCCTATGGAGGAGAGTGGTGTTTGTGACCAGAGAACCTCGTCGGGGGCACGCCCGTGGGCGAAAGGTTATATACCTTATTTCCCTGTGGGATTGCACAATCCTCCTTTTCCGAATTGGGACACATTTTCCCTGCAAAAGTTCCTTCGCACCGCCCGGCGATATCGGGTCGCTCTCCACAGCTTGGCAAACTAGCCAATTGGTATTAAAGTCGAAGCTCCCAACTGGGTGCTGGGTTCCTTGTCGCATCTTTTCTCTGTATCCTCAATCTGAGCGCTATCTAAATGATGAACACCTCTCAGGCTACACAAAAGTCACCCAGTTCACCCGTCAGACGCCTTGCATTGAATGTAAACGCCCCCCTGTTTTCCAGATGCATGTGAAACCGTGCCTGACGCTCTGAAGGCCTGTGCATCCTGCCGTGAGAGAAAGACAAGATGTAACGAAGCGAAGCCCTCTTGTGATCGGTGCAAGAGACTGGGACTGGCGTGCGCATATGTGGAGAGCGTTGCATCCAAGTGAGATCCAACAGTGTTGATCTTTCTAGTCACAGTTTTCTCATGAAATCTCCGTTTATCAGGAAAGGTCTTTCAGTCTCCGAATTGGCTGGCGCCCTTCAACGAATGGAAGACAAGATTGACAACCTTGTGGCAAAGACAACGGCAAACCAGGGAGTTGGACCACTCAGCGATCGCAACCATCCAAGTTCTACGACACAACCTCCGAATACACCAGCCCCAGTCAGCCCCATTAGCGCCTTTACGCCCTCAAGGCTCGGGTCGGTTCAGATTCGTCAGGAACTGGCGATACCAGAGCGTCACTGCACAGCGCCACAGCATTTACTAACATGGTCGTGCTCGCCCTTGACTCTAAACGACCGTGAGCTGCGATACCCAGTCGACCTTGAAACTAAGCAAGCCAGACTGAGAAAGACTACTGCTGCACCAGTATGTCTGTCGCAGAACATGAGCGAAGTGAGCAGCAGCTGGCTATCTACCATATCCTTATCTCAACTCCGTGACCTAGCCAACCTCTATTTCACTCATTTTCATCCTCAATATCTCATTCTTGACGAGGACAATTTCTACCACCAGCATCTTAGTCGGGCCCTGAGAGTTGGTCTTGATGACAGTTTAAGCAGCTGCGTTGTACTTCTAGTACTTTCCCTTGGTTCCGTTGTCGCGTGTCAGACTGATGGCAGACGGTGGGCCCAGTCAGATTCTGCCACTGACATGCTTGAGTTCGAGGCTGGTCTCAGCTTCTTCAATCTAGCTTGCAACATATTTCGTGATGTTGAAGATGTTAGCTGGGAAAGCGTGCAGTGTCTTCTGCTCATCGCGTAAGCATCACTCATCGCGTTCTGAATCCTGGAACTAACACAAGGAGTCTTTACAACTCATCCAAACTCAGAGTTTACGACCATTGGCGTTTCATCAACAAAGCATGTTCGACTGTGATAATCTTGCTGCCTCTGTATGTTGACTCATTTCAAAAGTTCATGAGCGTTGTCTAAACAAAGGTTGGACAGAGAGGAACAGCTGCAAGCTCACCATTGCCAACTCTACTGGATTGCGTACCTACAAGAAAGGTACTGAAGTACCGCTGCTGCGCTTGTTGATATCATAAACGCTGAGAACATTTCAGTCAAATACTCGTCGAGTTTGAATTCCCTTCTAGCGGTCTTAGTGGGCTTGAAAGCTCCGTTCCGTTGCCGCTTCTCCCAGATCCTGGGATCGACCCCCGGCAAAAGGAGTACCAATTCTTCTTCCTTGCCCTCGTTTCGATGAGAAGACTTCTTAATAGGATTCACTCCCATTTATACAATCAAGGTGACTTGGGAAAACTCCGCGATGTAGATCGATACTGGTTTTGACTGATATTGCAGAGCGGCTTGTGACTCCAACTCCCTCCGTGCTCTACGAACTCAACCGACAGATTGAGGAGTGGAAACAATGTCTCCCCTCTGCGTTTCAGTTCTCGGATCTCACGCTGTCAGATGAAGTCCAGATTGCTTCTCAAACCGACAAGCGCAGCATGCAAGAAAGGCTCAAGGGTCACTTGAAGGCCCGTTATCATGCCGCCAAAACCATACTCTACCGACTTCATGTTCACAGGGTGATACACAGCTCTGGAATAGATGCCTCGGATTACGAAGTAGAATGTGCTAAAACCGCTATTGCTTCGGCGCTGATAGGAATTCTTCACGGCGGGATAATGCACGAGCCTTTCCAGCTTCTCCTATTTCCCATTAACTCCTGGAGAACGTAAGTTACCGCCTCGATTTGAACGTTCTGGAGACATCTGACAAACCTAGCAAGGCTCTTTGCAACAAGGATTCAGATACAAATGATTCAGAAAACGGAGGTTTCGGGATTGGCAGCGGCCCTACTGCCAGATGGCTGGGAGGTAATAGATCGAGTCCAGGCAACCATTGTTGACGCTGCATCTCGTTTTTCACCGACAATCACTAGGGATTACGAGATTATTCAGAGTCTCGTAGAAGCATAACTATGTGTACGCGTGTGCCATATGTTTAATCTTGATGCGTCCAGCATTCTACTTCAATGTCATATTTTCCTCAAACTTAATGAACCCACTGGGCTGCAGCCTTCGAGCGAAACTCTGCCACCAGCCCTTTGTCCCTTGAGTGCTTCGCTGCAGAAACCATAAACACGGCATTCCCTTCAATTACCCATTTTTGAACGCTATCGTCCCAGTAGGAGATAATCACTCGATCCAGAGTAGCCCGAGCAGTGGCTGTCTCCCCAGGACGCACAAACACCTTGTCCCACCCCTTGAGCTCCCTCAGAGGTCGGCCGAGTCTCGACTTGGAAACCGGGCTGACGTAAAACTGTACCACTTCCTTGCCGTCAACATTCCCAGTGTTGGACACGTCAACCTGGACCTCAATCTTTCCGTCCACGGCAAGAGAATCGCTGCTCAGCCTGATGTTAGAGTATGCAAATGTCGTGTACGAGAGACCATATCCGAAGGGGAACAACGGCTCAATCTTGCGGCGGTCGTAGAACCGGTAACCGAGATAGATGTTCTCACCATAGTGAACAACATCATTCTCTCCGGGGTAGTTGTCAAACGAGGGTGTGTCCTCAATGCGGCGTGAGAATGTGATCGGTAACTTCCCACAAGGATTGGTGGTCCCAAGAAGAATGTCGGTAATACAGTTGCCCTGCTCCTGCCCTTGATACCAGGCCTGAACAATAGCTGGCACCTCGTTGACCCAGGGCATTGCGATTGGGCTGCCTGTCTGGTTGATGACGATGGTCCTAGGATTCGCCCTCACTACAGCCCGTACCAACTCGTTGGATTGCCCTGGTAGATCCATGGAGACCATGTCGCTTGTTTCGGTCTCCCATTCATGGTCTTTCCCAACGACCACAACTGCTACGTCGCTGCGGCTGGCGAGGTCAATGACATCTTGTAGCATGGCATCGAGATTGCCAGGATTCTCCAGGAATCCAACTCGACCACCGTCTTGGACCTCCTCACGTTCAAGCATGCCCGTATAAGTCATGTCGTACGGTTTGGGCTCGCGACTGATGGACTCAAGGACAAGCTCGTAAGATTGTCCGGCCTTCAGCTCCACTTCAATGCGTTCTTCAGGTGAGCCGTAGCTCATGAAAAGAGAAGACTTGGGTGACCACCACCGGCGTTCAATGTTGATGATCACCTTTCCGTCGAGTATGAGCTTCCCGGGTCCGCAACTTGAGAGAGAGAATTGATGTGTTCCACTAGTTTTGGGCGTCAGAATCGTCTTAGCGCGGTAGGAGTATCTTTCCCCAGTCGTCAACTCTGGCGGAAGCCCGTCGTAGCATACCAGGTTCGAACTCGGTCGGTGCTCAGTCATGAAAGGCGTGCCCTCGTGCTTTATGTTTCTCCAAAGCGACAACACGAATCCAGGCAAGCCGGTCTCCGGGTTCCTCATCACCGAAGGCTCCAGAAGAGGGAGGTAACGGTGAGTGAGTATGCCTGGCTTCGTCACGACTTCCGCAGTCGGAAAAATGCTGGAGACCTCCTTGCTGAAGGAACCGAATGGCGTGGTACGGTAATGAGGTGAGAGATTCGAGCTCCCCCCTCCAGTTGCAACAGACCTGTTTGCGTTTGGGCCGATGAACGCGATGGTCTTGCCGTCAAGATCTTCCAAGGGTAGGATACAAGTCTCGTTCTTCAACAGGACAATGCCTGTAGCCCGTTAGCACAATCCTTTCTGGATGACCGATGGTTTCTGGAGTAGACTCACCTTCGGCGCCGGCGCGGCGCAAGATTGCCCGATGCTCGGGGAGATCAACGGCCTGCTCAGGTCCTTCTCTCCAGTCGGGAATCTTGCTCTTCCCGGTCTTATGGACAAGCTCGAGAACCCTAGTTGCGGAAGCATCGATGAAGGAGCTGTCGACCAGGCCTTGCCGGTGAGCTTCAAGAAGGTGCTTGCCCCGCCTCCTCACAGGCCCCGGCATTTCAAGGTCCAGACTGCAATGATCCGTAAGCTTCGTGACTTTCCTTCAGATTTCCCAGATGACGTACCCAGCTGTAAGAGAGGGAACAACGCTATTGGTCCCAAACCAGTCACTCATAACGAGGCCGTCCCAGCCCCACTCGCCCCGGAGGATATCTCTGATGAGGTAGTGGTTGGCAGAGCAAAAGTCTCCGTTTACCTTGTTGTAAGCCGTCATGATCGACCACGGGTTGCTGTCGCGGACCGCGATTTGGAAAGGCTGGAGGTGGATCTCGCGTAGGGCGCGCTCGGGAATCTTCTCGTCGATGAAGAAGCGGCGATTCTCCTGGTCGTTGGCAGCATAGTGCTTAACACAGGCTCCAATGCCGGCAGCTTGAATCGTGTTGATGTACTGGGCGGCAAGTTTGCCCGTTAAGAAAGGGTCCTCGCTGTAAGCTTCAAAGTTGCGTCCGCCCAGAGGGGTCCTTGGGATACAGACTGGACGTATCGAGTATGAGTGCTATGTTCGACCGAAACTAGCAGACGAAGGTCTAGCTGTACTCACCAGTCGGTCCGAGGAGAACATCAACTCCCTTGCTCTTCGCCTCTGCTATCAGGACGTGCGATACATCATCAATTACTTGCTTGTCCCAGGTAGCAGCAAGTGAAACGCTGTTCGGCTCGTCAGTCTAGCTTAAATGGCAAGTCCGTACCACTAACCCGGATGGCAATGAAGCTGCAGTCACTCCATCGACGAAGATGCCTCCGCGCACGCCAGTTGGTCCATCGGAAGTCTTGATCCTGGAGATGCCCAGCCTAGGGATGGGATTCGTGCGCCAGAGATCTTCCCCCGTCAACAGCAAAATTTTCTCTTCCAGTGTCATCTGTTTCAGCTTCTCGCTCGCAAAAGCTTTCGCATCTTGAGGGGGAGTCACAGGAACTTGAGAGGGATCGTAATCCCGACCATGTCTATCGGTGTCGAGCATGTTGAGAGTGAACCAAATCGAGTGAGCTGAAAGCTGAGTAAGTCCGCGTGAAGAACATGGAAGAGCTGTGAAAGACTCTTCAAGGAATTTCGTGTATACTGCTTCTTTTGAATGATCTAGAAACCGGAGGCAAGACGACGAACCAAGACTTCACGCATCCATTACCCGCAACATGTATTCGCGACCCATCGTTCAACTTCAGTGTGGCCATCGGCGCCGGTCCGCATCTCCCCGCCTGGCTTCCTCAACCCGGTCGCAAAACATTCGACAACATTTTTGTTGATTGAACTAACCAATAGAAGTGTGAGTGAGACTGCAGTTGAAGCGGCGGAGCTTGCATGAAGCCCCCACAATGCACATCGGAGGCAGTCCGTTTCTCCCCGCTCATCCTCTGCGATTACCACATTGGGCTACGCCGCGCTCGCCCGTGGTATTGCCAAGACCTGGGGAAGTCTTCCCCCGCAGATGCTATCCGGGGTTTGGGGATGAGAACATGGCTAGAATCGCACCATGTGGCCGGGCCTAACGCCATGTCGTAAGTCTTGAAGCACGGCTTGGTGAGATTCCCGAACCAGGCGCCTTGAAGTACCCTCCATGTCCTCCACAACATCCTTCAAAGGGATACAAATAGGCCCAATATGTTGAATCGCATAGCTCAGAGCTCGTGATCTCCAGATCTCGTCTCCTCGTCTTTCCTGTCTCTTGCCCGTAATTACTCGGACGATGGATTCCAATTCTGACCCCAACCCGTTCCGAACCGTGGCAGAGATCCTCGCGGCAGATTCCCGGCCTGCGGTCTCTTCCCTCACGCCTTCCCTCATCCGTCTCTACGCCATCCTTGCACCAGCTTGCCTCGTCGTCTGCGCGACGAATGGCTACGACGGTTCAGTCCTGACCGGACTCCAAGGCGTAGCTGCCTGGAACCAGGAGTTTGGGAGTCCCAAAGGAGCTCTCTTGGGGATCACCAGCGCAGCCTACCCCCTCGGCGCGATCCTTTCGACGCCATTCTCGGCCATCATCTCCGACCGTTTCGGACGGAAATGGTCTATTCTCATAGGCAGCTGCATCATGATCATCGGCGTGCTGATACAGTGCCTCAGCCACTCCATCGGGCTCTTCATCGGGGGACGTATTGTCGTCGGGTTCGGCATCACCATGGCCCTCGCTGCAGCCCCTGTGCTGATATCCGAGCTCGCACATCCCCGACACCGCGTCCTCTTCGGTTCTCTATACAACACCAGCTTCTATCTTGGCGCCCTGACGGCTGGATGGGTTACCTTTGGCAGCTATCGCATCCCAGGCTCTTGGTGAGTAATCAAGATGTACGACACACCGAGTTATCAGCGGCTGCTAAGTTGAGGAAAAGGGCGTGGCGTCTGCCAACTATGCTTCAAGCGGTTCCAGCCTGCATCCAGATGATATTTGTCTGGTTTCTAGACGAGTCCCCACGTTGGCTGTGCTACAAGGACCGCGAAGAGGAAGCCTTCAACATCCTCGTCAAGCACCACGGCGGCGGCGACCCAAACGACCCCCTCGTTCTTGCGCAATTCCACGAGATGAAAGTCGCCCTACAGCTGGAGAAGCAGGTGCAAGACGCGGGTCCCAAGCTCTTTCTCAAAACACCAGCCAACCGAAAGCGGCTGCTCATTCTCGTGACGCTTGCTGTCGCCGGTCAATGGTCCGGGAATGGATTAGTCAGTTACTACTTAACTCGTATCTTCAGCAGCATCGGCATCACAAGTCAGCGGGAGCAGACTTTACTCAACGGAGTCATCAGCACGGTGAACTACGCAACCGCCCTCATGGCGGCGGGGTTGTCGACAAAGCTCGGCCGGCGGTGGATGTTCGTCGGCGGCGGGATTGCCATGTGGCTGACCTTTTCGTCGCTCACAGCTAGTATTGCCGTCTACAACACCAAAGGGACAACGGCTTCGAGCCAAGCTGCCCTGGCGTTCATCTTCATTTACTATGCAGCATTCAACCTGTGTTTGAACCCGCTTCTCTTCCTCTATCCGACGGAGATCCTGCCGTTCAGGCTGAGGGCTATGGGTTTGAGCATTCTTGTATTCGCCAATAAGGCGGCGTCGTTCCTGAACCAGTTTGTCAACCCGATTGGGATGGAGTCTCTGAGTTGGAAATACTACCTTTTCTACGTCGGGTGGCTGCTGGTCGAGATCGCGGTGTTCTACTTTCTGTATCCAGAGACGAAGGGGTACAGCCTGGAACGCATGCAGGAGGTGTTTGGGGAGGAGATCAAAGATGACGGGCCCGAGGAGAAGGCCTCCATCATCAACGAGATGAGAGCGGTAGAGCATAAGGAGTGAGGGGACCCCATACTTTGAATATGACCACTAGAAGGATTAACAGCAGCTCACTTTCGCCCCAAAAGTAAAACCAAGTGTATTCGTGTCCCTGGACGATACATGCAGTCTTCAAAAACAAGACCCCCTCTCCGACCGGCAGCTAGCAAGAAACACTAAGTTGTCCGTTGAGAGACTCACTGAGAAGATGCAAGCCAAAAAATGAAAGGGACGAGACTCGAACTCGCGCGGGTTGCCCCACCAGGAAACAGATGTTAAGCTGACCTTAACCTGGCGCCATAACCAACTCGGCCACCCTTCCGCTGGTGATCTAAGGGATGACTCCCGAGATCGGATGTGGATGCCGGAGACGACCGGGGAAGATGTTCATATGCCGGTGTTGTATGGTGTGGGAGAGCCTTAGGGCTTCGGCTACGGAGGGGGGAGGCTTTGCGGATGGGATCCACGCACTTGGGAGAGATCCACCGACTGACTGAGTCGGCACAAGCTGGGCTCCCTCCGGGTGGTGGAGCATACGAAGTCAAGCGCGACCAATTCAGCGGGTGGCGAGGGCATACGAGTCTTGATTGGATTTGACACGAGGTCATCACAAGGACGGAGGCTGAGTTGATATGGCAGAAAAACATTGACACACCGATACTGAGGGACAGACCCCGGTAGATGCATATACCAGAAAACACTCACATGCAACTACGGGGCGATCGTCAAAGCCTTCGTCCGAACCAACAAGTTGCGATGAACTTGCCCAAACCTTAGAAAACTGGGATTCTAACTCTAATGAACAGTGGCTGAGCAGACCCCCAAAACCAACAGAGAATCACCAGTGTTAAAGAAAGCCTCAGCCAAAACACAAAACGGTTTGGGGCTTGAGGCGTTCTCAGAGCCGTTGAAACGGTGCCGTAGCTGCTGAAAGACTAATTACTCGAACGCCTGAAAGCACGTTGCCATCACCAGAAAACACCTCTAACCCGACCCGGCCTGTTGCTTTGCTTTCGCAGCCGGGCGCGGGAAGCCATCCCGGGAACGGGACCGATCAACGGGCGCGGCCTTGGCAGAAACTCAATGCATCGTCATTCTCTCCCCCCCCCATCTTCCCCAACACTTAGGTCGGGAAATAATCATACCAGCATGTGAGGCGGGGGGACATCCGTACACGGCATGCACGTTGCATCTGTTCATCTCCAAGTCACCCGTGCATAAACGGAAAAAAACAAGTGCTCGGCACCGCATCCCGGGGGGAGGTAAACAAATGCGGCCCAAATCTCCAGCCAGTCTCGCCAAATAGGGAAACGAAAAAAGAAGCATTTAAGATTAAATATTGGAACTGGGCAGAAAGGGCCCGGGCAAGACGCAACGAATGAATAGCCCGACAGCACTGCCTCACTCGCCAGAATCCAATCTTTCTTTCCTTCCAAGCGAGAGAGAAGCCAAGTTTATTCCTTTCGTCCAATGTCGATGAACGGCATCAGGGGAAAGGGAGGGAGGGTGAGGGTCAATGCCTAGCCGAACGCGTGTTCCCCACTGCTTCCCGCCGTGCCGCTGACACTCTAGAACCAAGTTTTTGTTGGCCTTGGGTGCGCCTGGCTCTGAAGATGGTTTAGCTCCAGGTACGACGACGGCGTGATTCGCTGCGTGCCTGACACGAGGGGCAAAGAGCGCATGGAGATGTAAACAGTGCATTGCGCCATCTCGTCGTCGCGTTATCTGCTGCTGAACATGACTTCAACGTTGGAACGCGACCGGAAAACCACATGATGACGATTGAAAAGACAGTGGTATGAATGAATTCAAACAATGACGCACGCAAGGTCAATGTTGTCCGCGCCGGCATTGGTGGTGAGGCGCGCCAACACGAACAAGAAATCCAATGATTTACCAACACCGTTCTAAAATTAGCTCAGCCTCCTCGAAGAGTCGACCAGAAAAAAAGAGAAGGGCACCACCTGCGCCCGGTTTTGTGGGCGTGTCTTCACTGGGTTCCCTGTTTCCCTGCAGCGCTCTTGGAGGAAAGAGGGCCAATACGAAATGGACGGGCCGCCGCCAGTGGTCCAGAACTTGGACCGGACTCGACCTTGGGCCCTGGGAGTGGGGAGAGATCAGCACACCTCATTTCCGACTCTGGGGGATTCCTGCCGCCCAATGGAAACCCAGATCTGGGTCTGACCCTCTCTGAGTCGCCGGCGCTCACCGAGTCAGGAGCTTAGACACACCAGGCTGTGGTGGTTCATCATGTTACACGGGCTGTTCGGTGTGAGACATTGTCATACGGGCCGCCGTCAGCTTACGGTCAAGTCACTGGTCGCGAGGCATGTGGGATGTCTTTGATGATGGTTTGAATGATTAATTACATTTCCTTCAGTCTATCCGCAGTCTATCCACGATTATGATACCAGAATGCACACATGTCCAGTGTGTGAGTCAAAATACACGCTGCTATTCCCTCATGTGCTGCTCAAACTTTTTACACCGAAAAGGCTGCTACTACTCCCCACACTTAGTAGAGGAAGGCAATGGCGCCGGCGATGACGGCCAGGGCACCGGTGGAGAGGACCTTGACAGTGGTGGCACCGGAGCCGACGGTGGAAGCGGAGCTGCCAGCGCCAGTGGTGGTGGAAGAGCCGGAGCCGGAACCGCTGCCAGAGCCGGAGCCAGAGCCAGAGCCGGCGGTGCCGCTGGGGGAGGCAGTGGAGACGGTGGTGTTACCGCCGGATCCAGAAGAGCCAGAGCCAGAGCCAGAGCCGGAAGTGCCGTTGCCGGGCTTAACGGTAGCGGTGGAGGAGGCAGTGCCGGTGGTGGTCTCGGTGGGGGTGTCGAAGGTGGTAGGGCAGGTGAGGTTGAAGAGGGGCTTGGTGGACAGGTCCTTGGTGATGGCGAACTTCATGGTGTTGTCGGGGTTGGAGTCGCGGAGGTTGTACCAGAAGGTAGGGGTCTTGCCGAAGAGCTGGCGGCAGCCGATCTCGTCCCAGTAGGTCTTGGCGTTCTCAGCAGAGGGAACAGCCTCGTCCCAGGTCTCGCCAGTGACGGGCCAGCCGGTCTCAGTAACCCAGACGGGCTTGCCAGCGGCGGTGGCGATAGTGGCCTTGTAGGCCTTGTCGAAGAGCTTGCCGGCGTTCTTGATGCTGTTGCCCTTGTCGTTCTCGTAGTAGGGGTACTCATCAACACCAACCCAGTCAATGGCGTCGAGGACGGGCTTGTTGGTGGCGTTTCCCCAGACATCCCAGGTGTCGACGTGGCCGATGGAGACCTTGGACAGAGGAGTGTCCTTGAAGGCGGTCTTGAAGTCGTTGATGAAGCCGACAATGGTCTTGGGGTCGGCACCGACACCAGACTTGTTCTTGACACCGGTGACGGAGTTGCGGTACAGGTCCTCAGAGCCGATGGAGGCACCGATGATGAGGTCGGTCAGCTTGGTGCCGTACTTGGTGACGGCGGTCTTGAGGGCGTTGATCTCCTTGTCGATGTTGTCGGTGCCGGAGGTCCAGACACCGAGGAGGATCTTGGTGTTGGTGTTGATGGCAGCCTCGAAGGCCTCGATGGGGTCCTCGGTGGAGTAGGCCTGGATGTTGGTGTAGAGACGGACGGCGTTGAAGTCGCCGGGGGCACCCTCGAGGTTCTGGGCGGTCTTGAACTCGGCCTCGAAGTCGGCCTTGAACTTGGCAGAGCGGTCGGCCTTGGTGGCACCAGAGTTGAAGCCAAGGTAGTTCTCGGCGGCAGCGGTGGCCGCGAGGGCGCTGATGGCGACGGCAGAAACGGAGGCCTTCATTTTGATGATGTGTGATTATGCGTGTGTAACTGGGAAAGAATAATCGCTCTCGTGTCGGTCGGGAGGTATCGTAAGACGGATAGGCAGCAAGAGAAATCCCAGGGCTGTTTATTAAGGCTGGGAGATGCTGTGGTTGGTCGGGGACTGTTTGGCTGTGACTAAAACAAATAATAAAGAGTGTGGAATAGTTGGGTTTGTTGTCGAGGACCAAAAAGAATGACTGGCAAAGGGAAGGAGGTGCCAAAGAAGGTGTCGACAACGGGTGGGACAAGGCCGGGTATTAAACACACGAAGAAATTCGGGAGTCCGAGTGAAGGTGGAGTGTGGTGAATGAAGATGGAAGGGGAAGGGGAAGGGGAAAACAATGACGGCTGCCGTATTGGCCTTGGACGTCACGAAATTAAGGAGGTCCCCGGCTCAGGGGGGGAGCGTGCGGAGATCACGTGAAGCGACTGGACCTGGACCTGCCCGCTGCAGACAGACCTGCTGGAACACCCAAGGCAGGTAAGGTACCTCGTACACAACCCGGAAAGGAACACTGGAGAACCAAGTTTGTTTTCCGGGGCTTGTGGACGAGGGCTGAACAGTCGCCCAGCTGGGGCCTGGCGCGCTGGAGCCGCTCCACTTGTGCTGGAAGATCAGCCAAGGCGGTGAATGCAACCACTGACGCAGGGGAACAGACGCTGCGCCGCTGATGCTGCCGCTATGGATTGCATTGACTCGCTGTTATTCACTCTCGCCTTGTCGTGCGTTTCGTTGTGCATCTGTCATCCCATCTTGTTTGCTTTTTCCCACGTCGCGTCGACTCACGGCACTTGATGACCTGTGCCTGTGCCAATGCCACCCGGATGCCAGACGTGCATCTCAAAACTCGTCCAATCTTCCTTCAAATTCATGGCTCGGACGGGAGTGGCGGACGAGGCGCTTGGCTAATTCCCAGCGGCATTCCACTCACCACCTCCAACGGCCCTGAGGCTTGCCGATGATTTATACACAAGATGAAACGTCGCGACATCCAACTGCAAATTGACTAGCTTTGTTCCAGTCCAAGTCATCCATCTATCTGTCTTGAGTCGTCGTTGTTGTGTGAGTCTGTCATGTGTTTACGCTGCATCGGTGCTTCTCATCGTGCATATCGGCCTATGTAAGGTATGCATCTATCAATATCTATTAATCGCATATACACAGTCCCTGAGCAAGTTCCCTGAATTCGGGCAATCCAACCATCATTGTTACTGATCATTGGTAACAATGATCTCAACCCAGCCTTGTCATGTCTTCCAAGCCTCTTTTTTCCATGATTCTGCATCTTGGCCATGCAAGTACCATTGACCCCAAAGTAAGCAAGGCGCAGCGGCTGTCCTCCCACCGGCAACTGGCTGGCCGGCTGCCTCCGCCCCGGGTACCGGCGAATGGCCCTCCTTGTCTCCCGCACCTACGGGGCCGAGTCGGTGCCCGCGGACGACACGGCCGAGACTTGGGCCTTTCCGCACAGCTCGGGAACAACTTGGAACGCTGTTCAACCAGATTCTGCATTCTCAGCTCGACACTACAGTCCTACTTGAGGTTTATCTCTTCATACCCTACTCTCTCCCAAACATCGAGATCCTCAAGCTCGGCCATTCCGACGCGTTGGTAAAAGCCGTTCCCAGCGTTGACGACCATGAGACCAACGCCCAACTTCCTGTTGTCCCGTAAGATTGTCCCAAGAAGCAAGACCTGTGTCTCTCTGCCTTGTACCTCCTTCTCGAAGGAATCTTTCTTCAAGTCAGGAAGCTTGTCACATCCTCCCGATATGATATCACCATCCTTGTCGGTATGATCCGCGCCGAGGTCATCAGCCTTCATCATGCGACAGTGAAGTATAGCATGTCTTGGGACCCTTGTCCCAAGAGTATCCCATCCTTTGACCTTCGCGTCTTCCTTGATGAATATCTCGGTGTACTTCACCTGCCGACCCAGCGATGCCCAAGACCAGCTCGGTGCTCGACCCGATCTTTGCGACTCTTCTTCTTTCTCGTCTGCATCAATGGGCTTATACCAAGCGAGCAGCTCAATGAACCATTTCTTCCACAGCCCAAAGTAGTTACTGTCCTCCCACAAAACCTCGAGCTCTCTCGTGATTCCCCTCAAAGCGTTCAGTCTATCATTACTGTCACTCAGCGAGCGCCGGGTGTATTGCCACACAACCGTCTTCCAAAGGTACATCTTCTCCTCAGCGTCATTGCCGTAATGTCCAGCATTTTCCTCGCTGAAGCTAGTCCACGGCAATCCTTCCAGCGGTTGTAGATACTCCAATGCGTCGTCTCCCCCGACGACGCTCTGCAAATCAATCCCTTTACATTGCCAGAGCAGCTCATACTCCGAAAAGATTAGCAGCCGTGACGAGAGCATGAACTCTTGAAGCACCCATCCACGCTCATCCAACGTGTGTTTCGGCACATGGGGTCGTGATCGAAGATACACCGTCCCCTTTGGGCCCTTTCCCTTCGACCCGTCCACAGCTATACTTACTTCGGGGATATATGTGCCTCTCTGTCCCAAGAACCCGTCCCTTGCCCTCTTGGCTGTCCCCGCTGCGATGGTGATGGCAGCATTCTTGTAAATTGTTGCCATTCTCCCTACCTCTTTCTCCTTGTCTCTGTCACAGTCCTGAATAATGCAAAAAGCGTCCACCCACAGGTATTTGAACCCGAGCATTCTCGTAACCTCAACCGCGTCCTTGACCGACTGCTGCAGGGTCTCCTCTTGTATGCCGTTCTGGGTAGACATTTCCGTTAGAGTATGCCTGCATAAACGTACTTTCTGTTCACCTCCCCAGCAGTAGCTCAATGCGATATACTCTCCACGTTTCTCCGTTTTGTTAACAAACAGTTGAAGGGAAGGTTTGTCTGTGGTGCCCACCTCGAGGACGCGGGATGGAAGGACGCTGTTACGAGAGAATTTGCATGCTTCGTGTTTGTTTGTATCGTCTTCCTTTGCGTCTTTGCATTCGTCGTAGAGCCGTCTGGCCTTGCTGAGGACTTCCTGAGTCTTGACGTCCCTTTTGAGGGGTCGACGCGGAATCAATGCCGCCATAGGATTGCCTTCGAACGTTGTCAGTATGTAACTCTAACCTAGCAGATATTCAGAACTATATAGCCGTCTCCCACCTTGTTTGGCGTAGGGATGAATGCATAAGCATATTACGATGTTGTCGTTTTTTGACGGCGCGAAATATCCCTCCAAAACGTTGAAGACCGGGCAATGTGCGGTGCCCGCTTCGCCCGCTGGACGGCGATTTCGAAAGATTAATGGTTTGTTGCTGAGCAACCCCGTCTTTTCGTCTTCTCCTACTTCGATAGACTCAACTATCAAGAAGCATGACGGACAACTTCGCTCGGCATTGATCGAGCGAAGAAACTCGGTGTGTGTATAATGACGAAAGCCAGCTTTGGAATTGAGTCTTCTCAGGCCTTCTTCCGAAAACATCAGACTGCATCTGGCGCAGGCTGTATCTTGAACGGGATGACCTTCACGGACCCTTCTCAGAGGTCGAGGTGGATAGTCCTCGTCTTCCGCCTCCATCTCCGCTGCCTTTCGGCGATTGTTCGCCCTAAGGGGGAGCGTCAGGCTCATAGTCGACACCGCGAGACGACAGTTGAGACTAGAGCATAAAGCGCGACAAGACCGGAGGATCGTAGGGTATGACCTGAACTCGCTCAAAGATGCAAGAAGCCCGGAAGAAATTCACAATTGTAACGAGAGAGCCGCCGAGGGCGCCATCAAATCTGCCCTGCACTTGTGTGGTATTCCCCCAAGAGGGGCAGTTGGCCGACCCCTGTGGCTGAGTCTGCCTGCAGGAAGGCAACCAGGCTAGCATGCACGAATGCCAAAACGGGGCGAGTATTCAGGCAACCATTGCGGCCTTCGACAAGGCAATTATGCAATTGGATTTGGGCAAATTGCGACCATGGAATTTGCCTTGGGTGGTATCTACCTATTATCTGAAGTAACTGCAGTGCGTGGGGTATTTCAGAGTCAAGGACTCAAAGGACCACCAGTTCAGGGAACAAGACGTTGAGAGGGGAGAAGAGAAACAACTCAATTGTATCAGGGTATTATCAAAAGAGTCCAAGATCAACTCATAAACTCGTTCCAATCATCAAAACACAAAAAGAAGGCTCCACAGCGACGCATGAGCGCGCTGCCATTCGTAAAAGAAAACAATTAACCGCCCGATCCAAACGCCCCTTTCAACCATCCTCCACGCCTAGTCGCGCGACTCGTCCATTTCTTCCGGAGTGTCATAATCCTCGTTGAAACCAATCGCAGCGAGATTCTTCTTCACGCTCTGCTGAGAACTCATTTCCTGTAGCGATCGTCAGCACATGTTGGCTGGGGGGTTCGGTGAGAAGATACATACCACCTCGACCGTATCCTTGATGACATATCTGGTGACAAGCACCTTCTTGCCCTGGCCGAGACGAATGGCGCGGGCAATCGCCTGATTCTCAACACTCGGGTTCCACTGCAGCTCGACGATAAAGACGCGATTCGCGCAAGTGAGATTCAGGCTGTTCATACGCATGTTAGGGATGCTTCTGAACGGGAGGAATGAGAACATACCCGAAAGCACCAGTGCCAGTCGTCATGATGAGAACCCTCTTCTCATCTTTATTCGCGAAATCTCTGAGCATATCCTGACGTTGGCCAAGGGAGCAATCGCCGTCGATACGGAGAAAGGGGATATTTGCTCTTTCTAGGTGTTGCGCTACGAGGTGCAGAGTTCTCGTCCAGCACGAGAAGATGATGCTGCAAAACATCAGTAAACATATCAAACAGATAGTCTCAAGCAACGCTACCTCTTGGTCTCATTCAGGTCAATTTGGACATCTTCGATCAACGCCTTCATCTTCGTAGAGTGCCCCGTCGAGTTGAAGTAGATCTCGTCATCCCTCTTGGACCCAAGTTGAGCTGGCGCGTCGACCATCTCCACGTCTCCTGAGCCCCCGGGCCCATCAATCCTGACAACCGGGACGCCAGAAGGCAGCGCACGCTGCGCCCTGGCAGACCTCATCCAGTTTTCACACACAGGGCAGTGTCTCGCTTGCGGGCTTGCCGTGCCGGCAGAGTAAGTAGACTGATCGAGGCACTCGGAGCAGAAGACGTGTGCGCATTGCTCCTCGAACTCGTTCCGCAGCCGGCTGGAGCCCAGAACCGGCATCGGCTGGTGGCATCCGTCGCAGGTAATCTCTGCATTTTGGCCCAACGCGCTGACGACGGCCTCCCGCTCGTCGAGGCGGTACGCGCGACGGTGCCAGGAGAAGGGCTTCTGGTACGTTCCGTGGTTGCACAGGATACGCAGCTGGAGGTTCGCCTGGAACAGCCCAAACTTGGAGCTCTTCTCCACCTCGCCGACCTTTTGCTTGATCGTCCGCATCAGGATCTTCTTCGTATTATCGTATTGATCGCGTTCCTCCGCGGTGAACTCCAACTCCTTGGTGACTTCCTTGAGACCGGGGAGGCGCAGGAGCTCCTTCGTCCGGCGCAGGCAGAGAGAGTCGAGGAGCGTAATCAGCCGCTCTTTGACCTTATGAGGGTCCTCCTCGTTCTGCTCGAACGGCAGCTCTATGTATCGCCGGAACTTGGCGGGCTCATCAAATGGCTTGGCGCGGATGAAGGCGAAGAGGGCGCCAATGTCTGACAGCTTGTTCTGGATAGGCGTTCCGGTGAGACACCAGCGGGAGTTGGCGCGCAGGTCTCGACAGGCGTGGAAGAATGTCGTCGCGGGGCGGCGGATGATGTGGGCTTCGTCAAGCACGACGCGATACCAGCCGATCTTGTGAAGTAGAGAGGACTTCTTTTCGAACTCTGCCGAGAGGGTGTTGTAGGTTGTGACAACGACTTGAGAGTTTTTGATCTTTTCAATGTCTTTCTCACGGCCGGGGCCATGGTACTTGATCGTTTTCAGGCTACCTTGGACGTGTCTACTGCTGGTTAATCTTGCTGTGCAACGGCTTGGTGATGTGCATTGGCTTACTTGTCAATCTCGTTGGTCCAGTTGTAAATGAGGACTGAAAATGTCAGCATCCAAATGGAAAACCCTATGCACAGGTTGACCTACGGGCAGATGACACGACTACTAACGTCGAGCCAGAATAGCTGATGTCCTTGAGTTTGTCCTCGTTGCCGTTCTCCTGCTCTGCCCACTCTTGGCCACTTGGAAGAGTCTTGACAATGAGAGAGAGGATAGACAGAGACTTGCCCATGCCCATCTCGTCAGCCAAAATACCTCCGCCTCGCTCTTCTGGTTTGGTACGTTGTTTGACGTTGGTAATCTTGTGGCGGTACCTAGGTCTGTTAGCTCAAAGCATCCACTACGCGACGTCGATGTGAACATACCAATCACTTCCGTCAACCTTGACCGGCTTCCAAAGACGATAGCGGTCCCCAATCTCACCAGACTCCCTCTGCAGCATGAACCCCAGTGCCTCTTGTTGATGTCTTGTGCAGGTCAGTGAATATAGGTCGATGAGTCTCATCGAGTGATATACTCACATCAGAAGTTCGTTCTTGAGTCCCTCGCCGCCACCCACCTTTTCGAGGTCCCTGTGCTTGTCCAGAGATTGGTAAACCTCCAGCATCATTTTCCTCAAATTCTCTTCTCTCGGTTGCCTCTTCGCCGGGCCGCCGCCGCCAACCTCTCTCACTGCCTCCACGGTCATCTCTTCAACCCCATCAAGTTGGAGCATGTGTGGGTTTTCATAGTCCACGTCCTTCCTAGAATGCGTCGGCTTTTGCAACCAGAGCTTTCCTTCTGATAACTTGTCGCCAACTTCATGCGCAGCTCTCCTGGGCCCGTAGACGTTGATATCGACCTTGACCATTGCTTCAACAGGCTTCTTGGCGCGGCCAATGGTTTCTCGGAGGGTGACGGTTGGCGCGATGGGTTCGAACTCGACGCCAGCTCGGGTCAGCAGCGGTGAGATTGTCTTGCCGGGACCGGAGCGTAGATAGCCGAAATCGGTTTTGTCCTTGAAGGCGAGGAGGACATGATCTTGTGAATCTGAGAGCTCGAAGCGTTGGTATTGTGTCTTTCCTGCGGTCATTGCTGCCACAAGCTTCGAGTCGATGACGGCCATTTCACCTATCAACTTGACATCCACATTGTAGAGCTATTATTGTGAGTTGGCATTCTTATCACGAGAGGGAGTGAAAAGTAGTTTGGATGAGATGAAAGTATGAAATAGTTAGCATACCATCCCGTAGCAGACTTTGTCAAAGTCTTCATCCCCAGCCGATGAACATGAATCTGAGCCGGTGACGATAGACTCGGGGTCCATAGAGGGGGAATGAGTGGCAGGCAAAGAGTCTGCGGATGACCCTGAACCTGACGGCGACGGCTGGGATACGTACGATGCGCCGGGAGAAGGCATCGTCATGTTTTGGTGGGCCCATTCTTCTAGCTCGAAATCCAGGTTGAACGGGGCGTCTGCAGTTCCTAGATTCAGATTTAGATTTCCTAGTTGGTCGGTGGGATCGAAGTGTGTGTTTTCGTAACCGGGGTTAGGGCCATTGGACAAAATGCCGTTGAAGACATCGGTGATAGAGGAGTATTCCTCGAGGACGGGGGTTTCGTGTGTATAATCCATGCCCATCCCCATGCCCTGGAACTGGGTCTGGCGAGGGTACGTTCCGGTGTAGTCGTCGGCGCTCTGGTACGAAGACCCTGAAATGGAGCCGTGAGGGGACATGAACGACGGGTCAGGGTATTGGCTGTGACCATCGTCATCTACATCGTTGAGAAGACGCTTGAGAGACATGTTGGTCGACGGGCTTGACGTTGACGTTGACGGGAATGCCTGTCCCGTATGTTGGTGGGTGGTGTTCATGATTTCGTAAAAGTCCTCGCAACCAGTGCAGAAGAGACCATAACCAGATGATTGGGGGAATTCCAATTCAGTCAATCAATCAGGCTCGCGACCTGAATAAGAGGCCGGGCGAACCACTTTTGAGCACATGATGGTCGGTGACGTGAGGCATCGAAGGCGGCTGTTTGCTGTGCATTTCTGGCGCGTCCCCAACGGTCTCGTGAGGCGCAGTGCCGACGATGGTTTGCGTAGTGCATCGTGCACTCCGAAGAACGCTGAGCTGTTCCCTCCCCGTCCCATAACGTCTCCCCCGCTGTCCCGTCCGCCAGGAACAGGAACCTAACGTAATGCATGGGAAGGGGTGAAGGGATGGGGGGAACAGCCCAGCGGGCATTAGCGGGCTTCGGGCTCGTGCGAACCACGAACCAACGGTACGCATGGTGGTCCGCAGGGCTCCGTACTGGCGTAAGGGACACCGGCACTCGCAGTCTTCACTGAGGTATCCCAGGGGGGGCTGGTGTTTTTTCCACTTTCCCAGCCCTGGAGCAGCAGCAAGTCAACGTTGTGTGTCCCGTCCTGTGCTGTGCTTCGGGTTGTTTGTGTGCGTGCGTCCACTGTTTGCACTGCCTCCCCGAGGAGCCGCAGCGGGACCACGGCCACATCTCTACCCCTGTCTGTCTGCTCTCACCGTCGGGACCTCCTAGGGGCTCCGCCACAGCACCGTAGGAGGGCTCTCCAAGTTCCAACACTACTGCGTATGCTGCCGCAGTGCCAACGGTGGCCTCTCGGTGTCCCCCGACCGGGGAATCAAGAGCCTCAATGACGAGGGGTCTGTTCCCACTTGCCGATGCTTGTTTCTCTTGGAATGTTCGGAGAGGGCTCCGATCATGTTGGGGAAGATGACGTATCGTTTAGACCTCGTGATGCTTTCTTTCATCTATCTTTCTCCGAGGATTCGTAAGGCAGTTGTTGTATCTACAGTGAGTACCGATGAGAGACAAGATGAAGAGACACACGTCGGCAGAGGCAGACACAGAGACAAGACCCCTGTCACTAAGGAATGCAAGACACAAAACTGCCTGACAGCCTCAGAAAAGTACACTGCAGAAAGGGGTGGGATATCACCCCTCACGCATCTCCAATCCCCAAAGAGATCTCCTCAAATGCCCCTCATAAGGCTTCATAAGGCGTCCGGCGGGGGAGGGGTCGCGAGGTGGCCGGAGCAGCCCGCGCGTCTGCGCGTCCCCAAATGCCATGCTGCTGCTTGTGACTTCGGGACATGGGTGAAGCATAATGCAGCCCTTTCGCCAGTCTCCAGCCTCCAGACCGCAGCCCCATCCAGGGTTGTGCGGGTTCTTGTCGACTCAATGCCAGAGAAGTGGCTTGTGTGGACCGCAAGACATCATCAGCAAAGAGAATACGTGGAAAGATGGAGAGCGAAGCTCGCAGTGGCAGTGCAGTTCGGCTGCCTAGCGCCTCATGCCACCCCTGCCGATTGCTGTGTCTTTTCTTTACCCCTGTCTCTCAGGCGGGCCAGCGACATCATCAACACCAATGGGCCACCTCGTGTCCTCGACGTTGAGCTGACAGGGGTCGCTCAGACGGGGTAACATTTTCGGGATAGTACCGCCTGACTGGCTGCCTCTCTCTTTCTCTATTCGAGAAACGCATCAGCCTCAATGATGTCGACTGCTCGGATGGTCCCGTTGTGCGGGATTGTGGGTTTCTCAGGACCCTTTCTTTCCAGCCCAGTCTCGTCTAGTTTCCTTCTTTCATTGCTTTCCTTCTTGGATTCTGCAATGTCTCCCAGCTAGCTCTTTGTTGTGTTGGCTGGTGAACTCAACCGAGAACATTGAACCCACAGCGGCGGCATTGGGTGTAATCTACGGGCCCCGAGTCAGCAAACACCCCCGGAATCCCACCGGCGAAAACAGCCATGTCAAACGGCCCCGGACCCGGCAGCTTCCGCTACGGAGCGGAAGCCGGCTTCTTCGCAAAGGAGGCCGAAAACTTCAAGGCAACTCTCAATACCAAAGATGCCGAGGACTTTGAGAACAGCAGATTAGATCTCGTTCGCCGAGAGCTCTTTTCGTTGCAGACCCAACAACAGGCCACGAAGAACCTGATGAATATGAAGAGACTGCAGAGGTTTCTCGACGGGATGGCTGCTCTACAGCAGGTACTCACAGAGTTAGAGTTTCAAGAAGTGGACAGTATCATGGCATGCATCTGGGGTCCTATGAGGTTCTTCTTCAAGGTATGCTCTATCCATCGTGCCCCTTGACAACTGTCAATTGGTCGCACAAGTATTAACACGTTGCACTTAGACAACAAATATCAACGAACGGGCCTTTGACGACATCCTCGACGTCTATTACCGCCTCGGTCTCAACATCCCGAGATTCACCGATTACATGCATGTTTTCCAGTCATCGCAAAACGGCATCATGTGCCTGGTGAACACGTACAAGGATGTCCTCAAATTCCATTCAACAGCGTACAAACTCTTTTCTCTCCGGAGTCAGCGTACGCTATCTATTACCTTCTTTCTCCCAAGCGCAACATTGTCAATCTGACTGGTTCCATAGTATGGGCAAAGCTTCACAGAGCGACCTGGAAAGACCTCAACTCAACCTTCGATCACATATCCTCGACCCTCGAGCTCCATACCAAATGCATACAAGACCACGGATCTTTCTTACGACGTATGGACTCAGGTCTCGACGAAGTATGGAGAAATGATGCGAATCGCGACGGCTACAGCGAGTTCGGGGTATACGAGAAGGCCTACAAAGAGTCTCAGGAGGGTTTCATAAAGAATGAAAAACAGCGCAAGACCGAACAAAAGTCGAAGATCGAGACATGGATCGCAGCACCGGTCAGGAACGGTATCCTCCATGAGTCATTTCAGAGAAAGCGCAGCGGCTGTCCGGAGAACGGCGAGTGGCTCTGGCACCAACACGATGAGGTCTCCAATTGGATGCGAGAAGATATACCCGGAGAGTCGACAATCTGGATCCACGGCCCTCGAGGCATGGGCAAGACGATTCTCGCGTCCCACGTCATAGACCGCCTTGAACGGTTCGCCAAAGAGGGCTCCGAAGTGCCTTCCGATGCCCAAGTGTGCTATTTTTACTTTCAAGAAGACGACTTTGAAAATTGCAACTACCTTGGCATCTTGCGAGCAATTCTCCACCAGCTCGTTTTCTCGGCCGAGGTTTCTAGCGACGGCGTAGCCCCCGAGCAAAATATCGCAAACAGCAACCTGGCTATACTACCCCTCTGCGAAGACAAAATGACAAACTCAGGTGGCTCTACGCTTACCAATCCAGAGGTAGCGCAGTCTCTGATCGAGGTTTTCTTCGAGAACACCTCGCGTCAATACGTCGTCGTCGACGGACTGGAAGAATGCAGGGCCACCACAGAAATCACGCAGACTATCAACTTCTTCACAAAGACGGTAAACGCTTGTGAAGAATTGAACCAGGGACAGCTGCGGGTAATGTTCATGAGCCAGTCGAACAAGGACATTCGTAAGTGTATGGAGAAGAACGGTCTGTCGCCGAATTCGGGGGAGGTCGAGCTGGATGCAAAGGAGAACGCGGAGGACATCCGAAGATATGTAAGAAGGGAGTTGAATTCCCCGAATGGGGAGAGGTTCAACCTCTTTGAACGGGAGAAGCAGGATATTGAAGACAAGATCGCATTCATGAGTGAAGGTACGTCTAGGACGGTCAATTCAAACGACGACAACTGACGAAGGCCTCAGGCCTCTTTCTCTACGGCCATCTGGCGGTAGAGAATCTCCTGGAACAGCCCACTAAGGCAGCCCTTCTTGAGAAGGTGAAGCCGGGAATGCTTCCAAAGGGTATCAAGGATCTGTACGTTCGTCCTTTTGCTGAAAGCTCCTGGAAATACACAACGAATGCGATTTCCCTGCTTGAAACATATAGCTGACAGCACTCTAGCTATACCGAACTCTTAGGAACCCTGAAAGATCGCCTCACAGAAAAGGAGACCTGGGAATTGGGAAAGCAGCTTCTAGGCTGGCTCATCTGCGCTCACCGCCCCCTGAAGTTGCACGAGATGGACGCAATTCTCTCCTTCAACCCAGACAGAGAGGTAGTAGACTTCGACCTCTATAAGCTTCGTACAGGCGTCACCGACCTCCTGGGTTCTCTGGTGCAGGTCTTGCCTGGGGACAATATCCGCCTCATCCACTCCACAGCCAAGAAGTAAGGTTGCCACCACATGATAGCATCTCTGACAGGACGCTAATAAAACCAAAGATACCTTGCCGAGACCGACGATTTTGACGCGAAGTCAGTACAATGCGACCTCGCGACCCGCTGCCTCCGCTACCTCTCCCTCCGCTGCTTCGTCGCCACCGACTACAACGAAGCCGAGCGGCAAGAACATATCGTTCACGGCTACTTCTCCTTCCAGGACTACGCGATGTCCCAATGGTACAGACACATCATCAGCGTCCTTGAGAACTGCCGCTCCGTCTTCGATACCAATACCCCCCATTGCCAGAGTCAGATCGCTACCTCCTTCCAAGTAGCCCTCGAAAAGTTCGTCTCCTCCCACGACAAAGACCTCAAGCCACTTCCCGAGCCCGATGTCCCCTCGGATCTTGACCGCACGTACATCGATACTTTCATAGACCTTCACTCCACCTATCCCCTCCTCCTCCGGCTCTGGAACCACATCTACCTTCACCAAAAAGAAAGCACGGAAGAGCGCAATAGGGTAGGCATCGCCCGTCTCGATGATATTCTTAAGTCCCATCGGGCCGTTATCGAAAAGGAGTTCAAGCCGGACAGCAAGACGGTCAACAACGACAAGATGGAGGACTACTACGGTCCCAACCTCTTCAAGTGCTCCCGCACCCTCTGCAAGTTCTTCCACCACGGCTTCAACAACAAGAAGGATCGCGACTCCCACCAGAACCGCCACGACCGACCGTACCCGTGCCCTCTCGAGGAGAAATGCGGCTTCGCGCCCGTTGGCTTCTCCTCCAACAAAGATCGCCAGCGGCACGTGCGGAACTACCATCCGGACCTCAGCGAAGCGCCGTCCGCGTTCCTGCAGATGAGCAGGCGCGTCGAGTCAGCCAAGTTCAAGTGCTCCATCTGCGAGAAAAGCTTCACGCGCAATATCAACCTCAAGGGCCACGAGAGGAGCCACTTTGGAGAGAGGCCGTACGCGTGTTCGCACTGCGGCAAGGCGTTCGCGAGACTGAATGACTGTCGGCGGCATGAGAGGATTCACACGAGGAATAGACAATGAGGCGGTGATTCAGGCTGTATCTGTGATTCGGAGTGGCGTTTGGAGTTTTGTTTGTCATTCAACGGGATATCTACGAGAGGGTATATAGGTAGGAGGTTCAGAGCCTCGACTTTGTAATGGACATTCACTAGGATATCAGAGATATCAAAGATACTTTTTGTTTTAACCCAGACTTGGATCGAACGCCCAAACATCGCCGAGAGAATTATTCCAACCCACGATTACTTAGAATGACCGAAGGATATGGCGGATGGTTTGCAGGCGGCACCGGAGGCGCAGATGCGACGGGCCAAGGTACCTCGGGCTCTGTGCCCGTCAACGGTCCTCGTCCTGTTTAGACGGAATCGTATCAGAAATCATGGCCCCTTTTGCGAGTGAGAAGCTTAGCAAAGCACCCAACTTAGTATCAAGTTACTTAGTACTCTGTCATGACTGCCCTTAGTCGTCTGGTAAGAGCTTAACCGTGCCCTCGTCTGTAGTGGTGGTATTGCTTGATCGCCGGTACGTCCATCTCTATGGCAAAGTACATCGTCGTCGAGCTGACTACATACCCCATGAACAAGTCATACAGATGAAGTAGACAGGAACGAGTAAACCTTTCCACAAGTACATCCTCTTCTTTACCCTGTAATCCGAAGTCCGTGATGTAGCCGTAGTCCGCTGAGCGGAGTTGTTTCTACGTAATTATGAAAATCTGAGGCTCCGGATAACAGCAAACTTCCGTTAGTAGCCGTGCCCTCATGTGTATGGAAATTATGAGAACCAGAACATCTTGAAAAGGCCTCGTTTGATTCAGCACTCTATTACGTTGGCTCTGAATTGGCCCTGCTTGACGATTCAATGTCTCCGTGTTCCCACGAAGACGATCAACGAAGTCGTTGAGCTGACAAACCATCACAACAGCGATCAGCGGATGGCCAGGCCAATCCAAGATTTTGTCGAACCCCAACTACCGATAACCTCCGAAGATCAACTGAACCAAGATGCAAGATCGAGACGAGGGCCCTGGTTCTCGCTTCGCCCGCGCCACAGTCTTACCATGCCACAAACTGCCATGACTGCATACGAGGTTGCACATTTCAACCGAGCTAAAGCCGTGGTGCCGAGAGCGTTCCAAGAAACCCGCCGCAGGATCGGCGCCGATCGACATCCCGAGGCACGGCCGGTGAGCAGACCTACGGGGCGCCATCAACACCGGCGTGCCCTCCCACCGGTAGCGTACCACCGTACTCATCAGCTTGCCCAACTCTTCCTGACTTCTATGAGGTTCGGGCCACGACGGAAGCAAGCCGGTGCCAGGAGGCGGACCCAAGCAGTCATCCCGGAGGCAAGAATTGAAGACCGTTGAGATCAACAACGGGGCGTCTGGAAGTCAAAAGCTTGTTGCTTTCACCATCCCAAAGATGAAGGGCTCGCCGATCATCATGTTGCCGGTGCGGCGGTAGTGATTCTGCGGGATATTCTCCGTCCCTGAAGAATTGCGCTTCGACGCGCAAAGAGCCGCGCCCGAACAAAGACCGCCCGCCCATCATGACTCAACGTGGCGTGGTAGAGCGGACGTTGCGAGGCGGTCGAGTCCAGGAACGGCAACCCGCAGCGTCGCCGGCCATCAATGATGGTCGTAGTTATCTAGCAAACATGGCGGACATGGCCCCGTGGCGGTCGCCCAATTGCGCCAGACCTGGTTCAGCCATTGCCAGAGACAGTTGGTCCTCCTTCACCTGCGTGTCATGAGCGCCGTTTGGCTTAGCGCGGATGCTAGCAGCGGCGAAGAACAATTATCCGTGGCATAGAACGATGGCCTTGGGTCGGCATCCTTTGTGTGTGGGTGTGGGTGTGTGGGCCGGAAAACTAAAGGCACAATGAAGCCACAGCGTGCTTCTTGTTCCAGAAAGCGCGCTGTCAGGGCAAGAGAGCCAATGGCAATGGCTGTGGCGAACAGTGATTGTCCAGAGCTACGCTGTTTTAGCCGAGCAATGTGGCGAGTGCATCTCAACACGATGCGAGTTGAAGAATTTGCAGACGATCTGTGTTTGGTGGACAATGTTGATGATGACGAAGGTAGTACCGAATTGAAGTGAGGTGCCTCATTGCGCGCGGTGACGCAGGATGGGAGCATTTGTCCAGACTGCCTCTTCCTGAATGACGCCTACGATGAGACCAACCTGCCGGTAAGTGTGGGAGCATTGAAATGTGTGTATGGTGTGTGGCAGCCGTGACGATGGGCCAAGCCGATTGCTCCCATCGGATAAGCACCAATGTTCTGCTCCTTCACACAACCCATTCCCACTTCCCGCTGCCCAACGTCGGCTTGTCCACCTAGCATCGTCATATTTGCAGTTGTCGTTGGTTCCAACGCGGTGCTGAGGAAACCGGGCCCCATTGCGACGGGTACGGAGGCCAGAGCGCTCGGCGGTTGGGGTTTGCCTGGGGACAAGCGGAAGAATCGGCATTTTGATCAGCTCTGGTCCGTTGGAACGTCCGCCGGCAACCGCATGTCGGGCGGGTCCATGGCTCGGATTTCTAATTCCAACCACCCGCAGTAGACAATTGTGCTGCGGTAGTCGGACTTGGCGTTGGTGTGACTACGTTGGCTTCGTCGTCGTTACGGAGCTGGTCGAGTCCGACTGGTTGCTTTCTGAGTCGACCTTGGCGTGTCGAACCGGGAAGGCAGCTGTAAGCTGTGACGAAACGTCTGGTTCGGTTTCCGTCGCCTCTCATTAGACGATTTCATGATTAGATGGATAAGCCCTGACAAACCGGAGGCGAAACAAAACTGCGACCCCGGCGGCCATAATTGAGAACATGTCTGATAGACCAACCAAGGGCGAACCCCGACGGGACGACGTCACCGTCACGAAACACGATGCGAGTTACAAGCAGATGTTTTTGGGAATAACCAGCATGAGGTATGCATGCAGGCGGCGCCGACAGGAGCTATGGGCGAGCTTCTCCAAGTCAGCGAGCTCCCAGACGGCGGATGACTGCCGAGGAACAAGACCAGGAGTCTATATCCTATTCCAGCTCCAGTCCGAGGAGTAGCACCCATTCTGCAATTCCAGTCCATCAGCATAAATGGCCTGAATGACTGGAGCAACAATTGAAAGGAAGGGACTGATCGGCAAGTAAGAACGAGGCCGAGATTGCTTTCCCCAATTCCCGAAGATGCTTGCCAGTCGTGGCTGGTCTGAGAACAGACAGAAAAGTCCGGGGTAGACAGGGATGCCGCCCGCCCGGGGTTCATGCCAGGGGTGTCAGGTGCGCACTCTCGGGGATGACGGCCGGCTACATTTGAAGGAGCCAAGACGCCCTCCTGTTCCTTTCAACTCGATGGCGTTGGAATGGGTTGCTGGTCTGTTCGATTTGGGGTAGGAGTTGGGGACTTGTGTCTGGGGCTGGGATGGCTGGCTGCTAGCTCGGTTGGAGAACCATTTCACTTCGTTGATACCTGCCGTACCGTGTGAGCCTTGGTCCTTGAAAGGAGCCAATGGGCAAGCTTGGATAATCTTGAGGACTGCGACTTCCATGCCACCCATCCTTCTTCGAAGTGTGAGCGGATTTGGGGTCAAGGCATGTGTGTGTGGCCCTGTTGGCCATGCAGGGTTCGAGAAACGTGGATAGGGATGGTGGGCAGCCAGACGTGGTTCAGGAACGCTGGCTGTCGTTGCCGATTTGTCACTGGCGCTCGACACCGACAACTCTTGAGGTAACCCGTCAATGTTGACATGATAGGTCGGGAACATTGGGAAGAAAGGCAACCCAAACGGACGAAGCTGCAGAAAGGCAGTTTCCATCCCGTCAGTCGCTCGCCCAGGGAAAAGCCGACTGGCCATCCGATGGCGATGGGTGGATGGACGGATGCCCTCTTGCACAGCCTCAACAATGTCCCTGATTCTAAGTGCGTAGCAGTGACAGGTCCAACCCGAGATCAGTGTGGATCGGCAAAGGGCTCAAAACAAGACGCGCGCTGCAGTGGACGTGGTGGCATATGGATCTCGGCGGACCAGATGCATTTCTCTCTTTCGTCGCGGCATTGGTCGGAGCCCAGAAGTGAATGGAGACGCTTCTTGGATTCCTCCAACCTCAGTCAAAGGTCCATGGTGGACCTCTGCAACCGAGCCAAATGAGTGTTGCTTAATAGTACTAGAAGCAGCATCCAGGGGAAGGGTGCTTTTGCCGCTGGAGTACTGTCGCAGAAAACAGTTACATCTCCGGCCTGCGGCTAGGATAAAGTCCGCCATCGCTCGATTAGAGTAATTTGGGGAAAAGTTGGAGAACTGTGCGGTTGTCTGGAGAAGCTCTGCTGTGCCGAGCAACGAAGCTATGTCGTACAGACGGCTGATTCGATAAGCTGTCTGATGCCGGGGGGAACTAGGCCTCTCCTGCAGTGCCTATTCTCCGTTACCCGGGACAAGCTCAGGTCTGGCAAGCAAACCGTTGCAATTCAGGTCGCGAGGAGCGTGTGGAAAGCTGTCGATGCGCCTCGCCGTTGGATATAAAATCAATCTCTCGTCTAGCGTCCGAGATGCAGCACAACAGCACGGAATGGACAAGCTTCAAAGCTCGGAACACCAAGAAACGCATGAAAACACGCTGCTGGGCAAGCTTTCTCGCCCTGTCCAGCGGAAGCTCCGCAGACAATCTGCCAGGATTCATCGAGGCTGAGGTACATACGATGACTACGGCAAATCCTTGTAGTCGTTCCACCGACCTTCAACACAGCACCATGATCCATCCCCACACGGTCGCAGATGGTGCGTGGTACGTGCTGAGATGTTTGATGCTTGTCTTCCGTCGGGACCCTCCACTTGACCGCGGAAAAGTGCCAAACGATTGCGCCTCCAGATCGGCGGACAAAGTCGAGCTGTCGAGAGCTAGCTGGAGAATATGTGACTGCTCTGAGAAGGTGCGAGGAACCAAGAACGGGTGATTGACCGCCCTGCATGCAGTTTGAAAAATTAATATTGAGCGTCGTGGATGGGATACGCTGGCAATTAGGT